TATTGTCTTTAAATTTAATACATAGAAATATTTTACACTCTTAAAAATATCAACATAATTTACATTTTTTTATACGAAATTAAACCTTCAGAATCGGAACAAATTCTTATATTTTAATAAACGTAGTAATGCACCAATGATAGGATAAAAAAATATAATGTAAGTTCCTAGTTTTACATCTATCATGTTGAAACCTAATGTATTTTTTTTATTTACTCCCATACTGTTTTAAATCAGCTTCTTAGTAAGAGACGACTTATATATTTAGTAGAACTTTTGACTTAAAAAAAATAGATTATATACTATTATAACAGTGGAGGTAGAACACAACAGAGTATTGACAGAGACAGAGGAAATATTTACAAAAAATATTCTTTTAAAAAAGGAATAAATTATAGATATTATTACGAACTGTTGCACAAGTTATAGTTGTACTACAAGATGTTGAAACGTTATTTTCAAATAATATTTTGTGCTGGTAGGTAGGTATTAATATAGCTATAAAAAATAAAAAGTACACTTACTAGATCCCACAGCAATTCCAACGTCAACCGCTGCTTGGACATAAATTTAGCACAGAGAGTTTCTATAGGGATATTTATATCATTTGATAACTCGGTAAATAAATATTTCTTTATTTCTTAGGACCTCATGTTTAAAGCAAAATCCGCGTTACTTATTTTAACAATCCTTTGAAATATAGAAATTAAAGCTTACTACTTACTCCTAACCCGGATAGTTATTTTATTAATTTAACCCTTTCAACGTTATAAATAACGTTTTGTTAAGTTATGGATTTTATATATCAATTCTATGGTATTGGACTTATATTATTTATGAAAATCAGGATTCAAATCCCGGTGTAAAGCAACTATCTTAAATTTTGGATAAATTTAGTTTTTCTCTATATGTAGCATCTGATTCTTAATTTCCGCGAGTGAATTCATGGGCCGAAATTAGTTTCTCGAGATCTTACATAACCTAACTTTTTGTATAAAATTATCAAATTTAAATCAGCTGCACAGGAATTGTTTATGTAAGTATTTATCATCATTACCTCATCGTATGTAGGCTCTTAGATAAATAAGAAGTAAGTAAGCGAATTTAATTAAATATATTCAATGGTTGATATTAACTTCGGAATGTTGTCTAATAAACAATATGTTAAACTTATTTTTAGTTGAAGGGGATATTTTATTATATTAAATATCTACTGTAGTATAAGTGGTGTATATATATATAAGTTAGAGTATACATGAGTTTTTGCTTATGGTCACACTAAAAGATTATTAGTAAAAAAAAAAGAAATATAAGGATTTTGTACAAAATAAATTCGCTGACGCAGACTCGTGAAACGTGCCATATTTGTAAATAATGACGACCATCGATAATTGAGAATCATCAAAATAATGACAAATTATATACTTTTTTTCTGTCTACATATTATTATATGTCCACATATAATCCGAGCACATACGGATAAGTCCAATAACTAATTTTTTTTTAAATGTGAATAAGCAGATTGATCCTTTTTTTTGCTAAATAAACTACTGTAAATAGGATAAGACGTATTTTTTATGATAGTTGCCACATAGGAGATGTTGCGGATGCGTTGCCGGCCTTGAAGTCATATACATATTTATTAACGTTTAATGTTGCTAATAATTAACTGATAATATTATAACAAATATATTATATCTTTCATATTATTCTATATTCTGATTTTTATGCTTAATGTTAGTCACGTAGGCGCACTCAAGTGCGCGCATGCACTATTTACCTGATTTTTTGTGTACCACGAATTCGCAATGATTAAATTATTATCCATTTTCAAAAAAAAGATGATGTTCGACATTTGTAATACTTTGGTATCGGTATAGTGGAGTACTTTATAAATGTAATCTAAAAACGTACTGTTAAATCCAGATTTTTTTTCTGGATTTAACCATCAAACTTGTACCTAAAGCCAGTCACAATATCAGTTTCAGGTTAATCGTTAATGTTTCTCTTTAAATTTATGAATCAAATCAATTTATGTTACACCCATTTCATAAATTTGCCGTAGTACCACAGTTTTATATTTATGGAGATCTTTATTGTTTTATTGTCTTGTTTTTAAAATACTTTTAATACGTATTATGGAACTATGTACATATGAGTAGTAAGAAAATTACTAACAGAGTGACACAAATTATGTTAATATTAGTTACATATATTCCGTTGTTAAATATGTTTACCTGCTACTGCATATAAAAATTAAGATCATATTGCTATACTGAGAATGTCACAGAGTCACGGTGAAAAGTGGAATGAAGTAAATTCTCATACAAATGAAATGTGAAGCTTGAAATAATTTTCTCCCCATTCATTAAATCTTGAGTCTTTGTTCCTTTTTCTGAAAACTCGTATTCTATGAAGTATATTTAAATGGGTAGAATTAAGTTCATTCAGTTCAGTTTATATCATGTTTCAAACATTGAGTAGGTATGACCGCTAGAAATCAAAAATATTAATGAAATTGAAATTATACCGGGATAACTTTAAAGTAATATATTTATAACTTGATCTTCACTAGCATAGGTAAAATGTTATACTTTTATTTTAGGTCGAATGTAAACTGTAGTTTATTGACAAGTTAAAATTAATTATTATTAAGTAATTTAAAATTAGGTTTTTAAGTCCCAATTTTAAACCATGGCATTGTGTTATAAGTTTTATATCGATATGAGGGTCTCTCTCTCTCTGAGAGTCATTTGAAAATTTCTTTATGGCGGTTCTTAGTTATGTTTCTTTTATGTCATGTTTTCCGAGATGATTTATTTTTGATGTTTCATTACTCTTTCTATTACTTCTTCTTTGAATAGAAAGTTCAATCATGTGAGTCTTGCACCCTTGCCAATAAATGTCTGTTAATTTAAATGTCTGTTAATGCATTGTCACCTTTATTACAATTAGTAAAATCTTTTTTTTTATTGATAGGTGGCAAACAAGCAGACGGCCTACTTGATGGAAGGTAGTACCGTCGCCCATTGACATCCACAACATCTTGGTTGAGGATTCGTTGCCAACCTTGTTCTTTAAGGAATAGGGAGGAGTGGGAATAAGCAAATGTTAGGAAAGGGTGGGAATAGGGAAAGGGTGACAAGCTCTCTCACTCATCGGACGAAACGCAGCCATTAAAGACTACTTTAAAAAGGTACTTCCTCGGTCGAGCCAGCCCACGTTCGAGCTGTAGTAACTGACCTCAGATAGGCTCCACCACCTACTATATATCGTGTTATAAAGTAAAATATTAATTGATTCATAGCAATAAAATTTATATATATATATAAATATTATTTCCATACGACAGTTGTATAAGCATTTATTTTTGTATGAATAATAATTACTCCTTTAATGATTTTTCATGATCATTGCCGTTTCTAAATCTATATATATATATATATATATATATATATATATATATATATATATATATATATATATATATATATATATATATATATATATATAATATATATATATATATATAAATAAAATATATATATAAAACAAAGTCGTGTTAGTTACTCCACTTATATCTCCAGAATGAACGAACCGATTTCCACGGTTCTGCATTCGTTGGAAAGGTCTCGGGCTCCGTGAGGTTTATAACAAAAAATTCAGGAAAAATTTTAATAGAAAAGTGGGAAAATCTTTTTTCACATACAGCGCCAGCTCTGATACATAACATTATAAATTTAGAAAATCATTGTTTTTCACTGGCTGGACCGATTTGAGTAATTTTAATCTTGAAATGTGCATGGTAGTTCAGGGCCGGTTTAAAAGATGAATAAATATGAAAATGATCGGAATTAAATTAAAAAACAAAATACTTATCCTTTCCGTCTTTAGAAATCAAGTTAAAACAACAGTTTAAAAAGAATAACTAATTAGAATTCTGTATCTCTTTAGCTACATACTTATCCGCATTAGGTAAAAAATAAACTTGTCTTTTGCTAGCTACAGTTGTTAGAATAATTATAGTAATTAACTAGGCATTAGATTATTTTTATAATTTATGTTCATCAATTTTAAATTTCTGGACACTAAAATAATATTTAACATTTGAGAACCATCTTATACATATGTCGATCCATCCCCTATGTCGATTGTTGCACAGAGGGGCATTGTTTTAAAAACTCTTTAGAAAAGGGTATAAATTTAAGACAAATTTAAAAAACATGAACATACATTAAATAAGTTCATGAAACCTTTATATGAAATATATATGATAAAGAATATATACTACACTCATTTGTTTATAAAAAGATATATAAACATACAAACAAGATATCTATGTAAAAGAAAGTTGTGTTAGTTACACTATTTATAACTCAAGAATAGCTGAATATGGGGTATGGTTGGAAATATGTAGGGAAATAGCTTAGAACCACGAGACCGACAAAGGATATTTATTATTTAATTATGTTCGATCGAAAGTAACGCGTAGGAAGTCGAGGGTAAAAACTAGTTTATAGCTATTTATTACATATTAAATACATTTTTAAGTAAACCCTTCAGATTTTACATCTCAAAGAAAATAAAAATTTACGTAGTTGTTAGTGGGTGCTGTTTTTTATAATACATTTTTTGTCATTTTGTAACACGTCGATAGTGAATTATAATTTACTAATATCTTAAAATGAATTATTATTTTATAATATTTGAATGAGACATTACGTTTTTAACGAAGCAATTACTCTTAATACTTTAATCGTTACAAAACAATAATTATATCACTTATGTTTTTCTTAATGGATTTTAAATTAATAGTTATTAAAACTTGTTATCCTGAAGTAAAGTATAAATAAGAATGATTTTTAAACATTCTCATAAGATCGAAATAAGTGGGCTTTGATACATCAGTGAGAAATTTTTACAATAATAATACGAATAAAAAACTATTTCACTTTGTTTTAAATACAATTTTCAGTAAACTCGTCAGATTTTTCACCATAATGAAGACAATAATTTTCTTGGCCGTAATTGTATTTGCGGTTGCTGATCCCGAGTTTTATCAAGTTGATACGTTGGATATGGAGAAGATGCAAAAAGACCCTCAGGAATTTAAAAGACTCGTTGACTGTTTATTGGACAGGGGACCCTGCACTCCCGTTTATAGCACCTATCGATGTAATTATACCGTCATTATTATTATAAAATATGTTCCACCGTTAACTATTCTTAGTTTGGAGATGATTTGCGAGTTTCAAATATTTTGTAATAAAATTCTCAACCTCGAAAAAAGTAAAATATTTTTTTTTCAATCGATCTTTTTATGTAAATATCTGTAACCTTCATTTGATTTTTTTTAAATACTCAATACACTTCAATCATATCTTTAAATGTAATTGTGTTTTGTGTACTAATTTAAACGTGGAATGTTTTTACAGCCATTGTCAAAGAGTCTGTTGAAAGTATATGCACAAAATGCAGCCCGGCCCAAAAGAATGCTTTCTGGCTGTTCCTAAAGGCGCTTAAAGATGCCGTTCCAGAAGATTACGACAATTTTAGACAAAAATACGATGCCGATAATAAATATTTCAACATTCTAGAACCAGAATTAAGTAAATATGCAGACTGGCATTAAAAATATAAAATTTTTATTTCCATGTAGGTACTCGTATAATTCAAATGTCAAACCAACACATTAAAAATAAACTTGAAGTAATTCGATTTATTTGTTTTACTAAGTTCTGTTTTATATATAAAAATATTGTTATATGTATTTGTGAATATATGAGATTAGGACATTGTTTTATATAAAAAAATATATAATAACATATCTGTAATAAGAAACCGGATCATTGAGTCCAATAAAACTTTGGTCCTAGAACGTATGCACATCTTTTGAACTATAACATTTTAGTTATAATTATTCTATGATTTGGGCGATATTTTTTAATAATATCGATGCCCTAACACAGAGTTATATTCAACTCTGAGTATTTATAAAAATAAATCAAATTATTTTTCCAATCTTTTATTGGCAGTTAATTAAGGTCTATTAGTGCGGGTTTTAAGTAAAGAATATTAAACCGTCGAGATTTTTTCCGTCTCGACAAATCCACTCTTCAAAGTGGACGAGCGAATTTGCACAGGCGCGTTCCAGAGCATCAACGGAAATGGCTCTCACTTCTGACGTTATTTTAGCTTTCAACTGCTTGAAATTAAAATAGAAAAGTATAAAAAACTCTTGCCTTATGATAACCCCATAAAAATGTCAACTGGGGATAAATTGGGAGATCGGCTTAGCCACAATATGCCTCCAAAGCTACTTATGATTGTGTCCACGGAGATCTTATCTCAACGATTTGTGGCCACATCTCGCTGAAACCATACATTCGATACATCAACATTCTCTTCTTGCAGCTGCGCTACACAAAAAGGTGGTTTATCATATCACTATACCGGTCGCTACTCACTGTAACTGCTGAACCTCTGTAATTCTCGAAGAAAAATGGATCGATGATTTTGTTTGCCGGTATTGCACACAATTCTTGTATATACATATATATAATTGGAATCTCGGAATCGACTCAAACGATTTTCATGAAATTTAGTATGTAGGGGGTTTCGAGAGCGATAAATCGATCTTGCTTGGAATCATTTTTAGAAAATGTCATTTTATGAAAAAAAAAAATAACAAAAAGGAGGCGTTTTAAATATGACTCTTCCTGATATCTATTAGCGTATAGTAATACTACTTTTTGCTAATTGCTTTTAATATTTGTTTGAACGACACAACAGAAGATGGTGTTGATAAGTAACAGGAAGTCAATGAGTGTTTGGTTTGAGGTTAGACTAAGAAATTAATTATGATTTATATAGCTGTGTGTCTTTTTAACGTGTTCACTTAAAAATGCCTAAACAAAATTAAAAAAAAAAACACAAAACAAATACTAATAATTCCTAAATACCGAGCAAAGATCGGTAACCAGAGGTTGGTTTTTAATGTATTTATTTGGGTTGCTGGAGGACCAAATTCGGCAATTTTGACAATTGACATAACCTGGTAAAAATGTGACTCATCAGTAAAATAAACATTGTCCATCTCATTTTCCTCTGAAAAAATTTAAACTTCCTTTGGCAGATAATTTTTCAATTCGTGTAGTCGTCTGTTTTAATTTTCATGAATATTTTGAATCTTATAAGAATGTAATTTCAAGTCTAAGGCCAAAATTCGTTGAATACTTGAGCCGTGTCGGTTTAAAGAGGTAGCATGTTTTCTTATTGATTGTCATGGTTCTTGCGATACCGCAACGGCGCCCCGGTCGATGTTTTCAATCGATTGCACAGGTTTTTTTAAGGGCCAATAGAATGACTCTGTAAACTTTCTGTTACTCTGAACCTTTCTACGCAAGACTTAATTAACTGAACACTTGGGGCATCACTTATACGGTGGATTTCAAGCGATTATAAAACTTGCGCTATGGTTCACTTAACGAATATCCGTTGCAAAAATACGCCTCTATTGCATACGCACGGTATCTGCCAGATCACTGCGACATTTCGAATAAAATATCCGGACTCGTCACCATCTGAATGCACCCTTCCCCTCTAGCCTTCCCTAGCTCTGCTGGTTGCCAAACTATTTGTGTTAAATGTTTAAAATCGGCCTTGAGACACCCTTTATATTGAATTGAACAATAACTTACTTTCGAACATGTTTTTCGCCTAAAACACACATATAAATCCGCTAGAGGATTATAGTAACTCACAATAATATTTTGTGATATCGTAGATAACTGAAGGGCTAAAAAGTTATGATTAGAAAATCTAACCCGTTTACTGTCTTGTATTTAAAAAATCTTTAATATTACTAAAATTGATTATAATGATATTAGGGACAAAAGTAAGAATTGATTTTGTTGTTATTATTAGTTGTAGTCTTTTTGTTAGAAATATTCGTTTACAATTCATTATGTCAATCTCATGTAAGAAGAAAATACAAGTACTTACAAGAAGGTACCGTATTATTAATTCATAGTATGAACGTGCAAAAATGTATTTTTCAATAACAATATGGCTACAACACGTCTCACAATATGATATATAAATATCATGCGGACGATTTCCGGTTAAAATTATACAAAATAAGACAGAAGTTACATAATAGTCAAAGAACATGACACTATTAACTTTCCTTGTTAATTAGTTTCTAATCGTTTTAAAATTATAGTAGTTAAATATTTAATTGGTAAATAGTAGTATAAAAGGGCAGTGTTTTGAGGTCTATGTCATAATAACAAGAGGTGAATATTGGACAACCGAAAGGTATGTAAAATAACATTGGAAATACATTACAAATCAGTGCATGAATTAAAAATAAATTTGTTATATTTTAATGTTCACTATTTGATAATACATTTTTGTAATTTTAGATTATCTAGCACAATGAAGACTGTCATATTCCTAGCCGCGATTGCATACGTGACTGCAGCTGAGTCTGATTACTATGACTTGGTAAAACTGGACATGCCCAAGTTGAGTAAAGATCCTAAAGAATTGAAGGTATTCGTGGACTGTGTACTGGATAAAGGACCTTGCTCGCCTTTGTATAAGACTTATAGAGGTAAATAATTTTGCTATGATCACACCACTAACTAATTATAATCAATATTATTCTAGTATTCCATGACACTAACATTATCGTAGTCTAATATATCTAAAAGATATATAACTAATAATAGAAACAGAATTTCCTCTTAAATTTATCAATGATATAAAAACAATCATAGAGGTGGCAACATTTTATATGAGTTTAGGTACTTTATAAAAAGAAATTGTATATTTTCGTTATGTTGCTTTCAGTCGTTACAGAGATGTTCTTTTTTAAATGAAAATTTAAGCCTATTATAACTTCTCAATTAGAAATTAAGTAAAATGGATTTTCGTTTACAGACATCGCTCAAGATACTGTTGATAACCGCTGCAAAAAATGCAGCGATTATCAGAGGCATTGTTATTGGCAGTTCCTGCAGGGTCTTAAGGCTTTCTATCCCGAAGACTACATCGGCTTTAGAGCAAAGTACGATCCCGAGAATAAATATTTCGACGATCTCGAATCTCTATTGAAAAATTATGCAAATGAATGATAAAAGTTAATCTTTTGGACAGATGTACTTGTTATTCTATGTGTTCTCTCGGCTTACTTCTATTAAAAACTTGATTTTTAATTTCTCTTCAATCTTTTAAAACAAATTAAATGGCTTATTCGATAAAGACTTGGTTTCAATTATTTTCTGTACGAAGCTTCACATAATATTAAAAGTTTATTTCATGTCCCCGCGATCATAAATAAAAAAATATATACTAATCTAAAAATACCATTAAACATTTAATAAATTTAATGACCTCTCCATATATCATTTATTTTTGTGTTAGATAGCATATACTCAATCTTTGTACCGTATAACATTATTAGTATGAATTGTGATGAAAAACAGCGAATACATGCATATTTGTCGAAAATGTCTTATATAATAACTGATATGACCTGAGATCTACATATACAACTAATCACACAAAATAGGGCTGAATTTTGTGGTTGCATACGAAGCGTTACATATACCTACTCGTAAACTGAATCCAGAGTAGCGCCCCAGCTTAAAGCTTCTGATTATTCTATTACTGATATTATATTGTATAGTATATGTTAATTAGGTTTCAAGTTAAGTTAACAGGTCTTATAATTTTACCTCGATGTATAATTAAAATGATGCCCATCGCGTTCGTACAAGGAGGAGATAACAGAAAGAGAATAGAGTTATCTGGCTCTGTCCTACAATAGCGAATCTAGTAGATATATAATAATCTATGTGCTTTGATGCCCAATGGCAATACGTCTAACATCTAAAATTAGATTTAAATATTTGTAGACCTTAATTGACAGACTTGTTCTGAGAGACGCTATTTAACAACTGTGTTATTATGTATGAGAGGACTATAAAAATTATCATACTAAGGTATCAAATGTCTTTATCTACAAATACGAAAACCAACGTCTTTTATATATTAAAATCTGATAACAGTTGTCTTGAGTTGTTTTACGGGGTGGAAATTTATATTCATTCGTAAAAATTATGATTTTACTTGCATTAAAGGCGTATTGGGTTAGTAGTATTGGGTTATTACTCAGACATAATTTTGATACGATTAATTTATTCACCAAAAAAAGACCGATTTTAAAAGAAGTTGCTATCAATATAGTTAACTCCCTTTGAGTCTTAGACAACTAAAAATATTCCAAATATAGACTATACTCTATAGTGATAAAAAATATAAATACAGACTATAGTGACAAACTTTCAGTTTTTATAAAATAACTAAGGTATGGGATCCACGGGCTCTTGCTCTATAAGAGACATTGATTGTTATTATAAGCTCAGCAGGTAATTTATATTAAAAGAGCTATTTTTAAGTTTTAAAATTATTTAGTTAACTAAACTAGTTACATTTTAAACCGTTGGGGATTATGTAGTATCGTAATCGTAAAAAGGAACGTATAGTAGGCAATCCGAAACTCCTAGATCTCATTCTTAATAAGTTTCACAAGTGTTTTGTTTGTTTCACATATCACACCAGTGTTTCATAAGTACGAGTATTAACAACAATTTGGACTTCTGGTAGTACCATGGGATACATCTTCGTTTATTATCTCATACGGATAAGAAGGTCGTTCAACGAGCTCTGACACAAAGGAGTTGAGTCGAAAGTTGAATAATTTTTAGATGTTACAAAAAAAAAAAATTTTGTTATCCGAATAATGGATATCATTAGGGTATTTTGACTTAAATGCACTTTCATAGGGTATTCAAAAATATTATTATAGTATAAGTAGCCTTTGTAATTACTTGACGGGTTGTCAATTTTTTGAAAGTGAATCAAACATTATTCTACCATATTATTTTATGAACTTTAAGGAGAACATAATGTATAAAGTCGTTTTAAAATTATAAAAAAATGTATTTATAATAATTTATAAACATAGAAAAAAAAATTATTGTAGTTACGTGTTAAAATATTTTAAGTTAACTTCTAAGTTACACAGAAACATATATTTTTCTGTTCTGTAACATATATTTTTCTGTTCTGTGTCTACACAGAAACATATATTTTTTTTATATAATAGAAAATAAACGGACTCTACTAGATGTGACACATATTATTTTAAAGTATTAGTAATTAGTCGATAGCCGTGGCAAAACAAAATTTGACCCTAACTGACCTTAATTTCGTGACCATCTGAACAATAATACGATCTTTAAAAGTATCCACTTATATGAATATTATATTTAAAATATCCGCTCAACAACAATCGAAGAAATTAATGAATTATCATAATTTATTGAACTGGTTTATGAATGCAAATTTTTGTTATATATTTTTATGATTTATTACTTTCAGCATTTTAATTAACCTTGCAAACATTTTGATGACTAAGCTAAAACGAATATGACAAACATTATGGTAAGAAAATAATTAAAATGTACTAGAAATGCAAAATAAATTAAAGCAGCACACGTTTTGTAACCAGTTTGAAAAAATTATGTATATGTCCATAATAATAAAGGTGTGTCGTTATGACAAAATAAAAAAAAACTATAAATTTCTATAGCTTAGCACAAAGAGCGTTATTCTTTAATGTATTATAATGTAAATGTAAAAAAAACATCGTATAAAACGTTGGCTGTGGTTCTATAAAGCGACATAGTTGTGTTGGATCCGACAGAGACTTGTCTCCTTACAGAGTACATATTCTGGTGATCTTTAACGTGAGTTCCTTTTTATTTTTACGACACATATAGAAAAATTATATTGCTATAAAATATTTTTCTGTAATATTTTTCTGTACTCCATAAAAATAAATCATATATAAAACAATATTGAGATCAGAAAAATATAAAAGAATCTTATTTACCTTTAAAGAATTCAGAACATCTATCAATGGTTGATTTATAAGATTTATTAAAAAAAGGAATATTAAAAATATTTTAGTTATTAATATTAAGAAAAATATACATTTACTTATCCTAGTATTTGTTACAGTGCTTCAATATGAAGACTTTAATTCTCCTGGCTTTAGTTGCCTTCGTAGCTGCGGAATCGCAGTATTATGTACTGGAAAAATTAGACATGGACGAGTTAGTGAAAAATTTGGAAGAGTTAAAGATATTTACGAATTGCCTGCTTGAAAAAATTCCTTGCAACAAAGTGCATGAAAGCTATAGAGGTAATATAATAATTTATTATATATTGTTTTTATCATTACATAAAGTATTTTATAAACTAATAAAATATATTATATTGAAGGCATTCCAAATGACTAAAAATATCAATACCCGTATTGGCATTTCAAAATTATTTTTACTAATTGATAAAAGGATTCTGATTTAGGATGAGAAACTGACATTTTAAACGTTTTTTTTTTTATTTTATTTCCAGCCAAAACATTAGAAGCTGTACAGGAAGCATGCAAGCAATGTGACCGTCACACCAAACACATGTTCTGGCAATACCTTCAAGCTCTTAAAGCAGATTTACCCAAAGAATACATCGAGTTTAGAAACAAATATGACCCCGAAAACAAATACTTCGATATCCATGAGGCTGAAATGAATAAATACGCGATCGAATAAATAATGAATTCAATAATAATGGCTTCATCTGAAAACAAATAAATTGTTGGCAAATATGTCAGCATTTTCATTTTTACGCTCTCTTTAAAAAATATTATTATTAAAACCCTAAATTCATGCTGTTCCTTCGTTTCCAATGCCTAGAAAATCCTTTATTCTTAACTTTGCAATTCATTTGCATCAGGTGGACTATTTAATCCTTAGTCATAATAAAAGTTAACATAAACACTAAATTTGCATTTATTGATAGTTTATTTCCTTTTAGTTCTCTTTTATTGTAAATAAAAAGAGCGTATCTATTTTATGAGTATTCTGACCCTTTGTGAAATCAATAATATACTTTTGTTATGGAATAAATTTAAAACAAGTTTAAAATAAATTTAAAACAAGTACGAGTAGAAGAACTTTTAAAAATCCAGTCCAAGATCAGCAGAAAGTGTGTTTAGCTAGAAATAAATGATATATTCCAATCAAGTTTTGTTTATTTAATAAAAATAATTTTGTTATTTGCTGATAAAAGTATAATATATTATAAAATATTTTTTGTGGATATGAGATAAAAACGTAGTTTCTACATCATTAAAAAAGAAAAATTATTTGAAAATTATTTGAATATTTGATTCCAACAGTATGTATTGGAATGGTCAACTTCACCGTGACAATTTTAATTTTCGTAGTCACAAATCTAAGGCAATATATATATATAATACAAATATTTATATCGGATTTATTACACATTCGTTGCTTTTAAAAAGAGAGACGCCAGCCTCGCTGACGTTACAAATGTCACTTCTTCTAGTTTGTTCCATGATATTTTAAAATGAAACTTCAATTGTTATTAATGTTCTTGTATGTCTCGAAGGTTCTTCATAATCACATACTTCAATGATACTCACTCACTGAAATCTCAATTCTGAAGTCTCAATTCTGCCGTCATGCATTCAAACGTCATATTTATACCAAGATTTAAACATAGTTCTATTCTCCTTTTAAACAATCTTTGATTAAAAATTGCTTCTGTCGTTTTTACTTTTTTTGTTATCATTTAGATTTTAGTAGATTAAGTACTTTTTATTTTTCAATCTCAGTATCTTTCGTGAATGTAAACCTATTAAATTGATAATTAATTATAATAAAAGTGTCCTTGGACTAATATAATTTGTGCTCAGATATATATTTTTTTTATATACGAGTCTTCGAAAGGTTCTATGATTTTAAAGTTCTGTTCGTTGACCTTTTCGTAGGTCATTCAGCAATTAATTTTCATATTAATTACATTATTTAAATAACTGGAAACCATTTTTTATCGCTTTAAGATATTGAACAATATAATATAACGACATATGAATATGAAGGTAACAATAAAGATACGTACGGACATAAGTTATTCTGCAATTCACTATATTATAACTAGGTGCTAGGACAGTAATATCATTGAAAAGTTTCACCAGAATCAGCAGGTTTATTTTATTCTATAAAAATAAAAAAATGATCGAATACTTTTTTCCTAAAAGCCACTGTTTCGAAGATATAATGATTCTAAAATTATGAAGTTGTAATCGATAACCAAAGACCGATTAAACAGCTGATGCAGATAACTGAACAATATTTTTTTATTTATTTTCCAATATTCTAATTTAATATCTACCCTAATATAATCCATTTCTTAATATCTAATAGCTTATTGAAGCTATTTCCTTCTACATATTAAATAACTTAACATATATAATTATATAAATAAATAACAATAGAAAATTACAGCTGAAAAGGCTGAAATTTACAAAAATAAGAGTTTTAAATACAATACAGAAAGAAATACAGCACGCATCACGATGCCTCTAGGAGTCATCCGAAAAACATTAAGAAAACTTTTCCAAATGTGCACTTATGTATATAAAACTTTGGTTTCCCTTGTTTTGATTTTTATTGATTGCCTCAATTTCTAGAAGATCCCACTATAAAAAACCTTGCTTAGTGACCATAAGACAATATCTTATTTGTCGTATACACTTAATGAATTTTAAACTTATATAGTTTTCACATGGTTGCCATTACCTAGATCAAAGGGAAATGGGACCAAAAGCGAAACACCACCAAATGTGACATTACTACCCAAGTATTAAAATATACTTATACAAGACGAGTCACTAAAACAAATAAATCAAGATACTGTTATTTTATTGTCACAATAAAGGTAATTTTAGATTTTTGGTTTAATATTTAAGAGGTGACATTAAAACATGGTTAATAAAGGGAACAAAAACAGTTTTTCATTTTAATGCACTCGTGCATATCCATTCAGTACTGATTCTAAAATGTCGATATATATATTGTCAGCATCGTATTTTTGTCTAAAGTCTTCGTAGTCCTCGGGATTGGTAGTTCTGAGTATCCTCAGGAATTGCCAGTAGCCACGTTTTTGGTGCGGGTTGCATTTCTTGCAAATATTTTCAGTGACTTCTTGAGATAAATCTGAAAAATAATTACATTCGACATTTCAAAAATATAATTCAAAAATATATTTCAAAATAAAACTGGTACTTGAACTAAAATTTTGAAATGAATTATAAAATAATCAAATAAAAAGTTTGATAAAATTATTAGTATTATTTTGATCTATTTCAACGATAACGAACTTTTTACAGACAACGCACCTTCTTGAGAATGTGTTTGATAATAACAATACAAATACAGTGATTGTATGTTATTGTGATTGTATGTATATTACGTATCTGTGTAAATCATTTTCGATAATAATGGCTGTATAATTACCTCGATATGCTCTAAAGACGGACCTGCAGGGTACCCTGTCCAATAAACAGTCTGCAAAACCCTTAAATTCCTGAGGATCTTTCTCCATCTTATCCATATCCAATGTAACAATGTCATAAAACTCGGATATAGCAACCGCAAATGCGATTACAGCTAAGAATATTATTGTCTTTATTATCATTAAAAATCAGGGGGATTCGCTGAAAACTATATTTAATAAGAATAGGATAGTTACAAATAATTGTAGTATATTTATGAATTTTTTATTTATATTTCAAAAATTTCTTACCGATCTATCAAATGCAAACTATTTTGATAATGTAAAAATGTTTAAAAGAACTTCGGTATACTCGGTTCAGTAAATACAAATTTTAATATTTTCTAATTAAGAATTCATAAAAAGTTGTATTATTGAAGTAAAATATGTTACGCAAACATAACCAGATATTAAGTTTACGGTATAACAATGGTATAAAGTACGGAATGCTGAATCTGAGCCATCGGTGGAAATGGGAAAGTGAAGCGGAAACCGCACGCCTTGCACCATCGGTGGGAATGCAAAATAGGATTTAATATAATATCTTCAGTCTGGAGTCAACCGTTGACTCACAGACACCTACCTATTTAGGATGTAGTTAGTTATAAGACTTAATTATAAAATGGGTCTTAAGTCAATCGCTGACTTAAAGACCCAGCTTCTAGCTAGTAGTTAAATTTAAGTCTGAATTGTTAAATTGAATAAATTTTATGAGTAAAACGGATTATTCTTGCATCCTTCGCTGCAACCAAACCTAATTAATGCGGCAAAAAAAAATGAATTATTTATTTATGTGAATGAATAAAGAAATAGTATTTTATTTATACCAATAAATAAATATCTACATTTATGAGTAACAAAAAAAACTCAATATATGTATTGTGTAGAACTTAATACTGATGTTAATATCTTTCTATTTTATAGCTTCGAATTATTTATTTTTTATGTTATATCACACCATTTTACTAATTAAAAAAACTCGACCACTTCATAACATTCGTTTAATGAATTAACTTGCTAGAGTGAAGTACTTAAATGAGTAAATCGCCAAAAATTTCTTACATCGTCTTGGAAAAGATGCAAACATAAAATAGCTTGAACTGTCGCAAGGAAACCGGCTGTCAAATGATTCTAAAAGAGAGATAACGACGTCAAATTTATAATAGGGTTTAAAACATAATAAGCAACTTAAAAAGTACTATTTCGTTGTAAAACTTTAATAGGATATATTTCACAATCGATATAAAAGAATAAAGTTTATTTGTTCTAGTGAAGATCAAGTTAGAAATCTTTTATACTAAAATAAACCCGGAGTGTTTTCAATTTCTAGCAGTCGTCCCTACTGAATGTTTGCAACATATTTAGTACAAACTTATAAGCCAGTCAAATTAATTCTTTCTATTTTATTGCATTTAATAACATATAAAATACCTGACATTAGCGCCGCACTTTTGTTTGTAGTTTTATAGTTTTAGAACCTAACTTTAAGAACTGAAGAAATTGCAAGAGAAGATATTTTTTCGAATAAGAAACATTTCACGAAAAAATGTTTATGGTCTTCTTAATATTTTCGTTTTATAATAAATCGTTAATCGTCCTTCACATCAGTGGTGAAGTGAGCACACGTACATACATACTCGTATCTGCAGAAGAACCAGTTCAATAAAATAAACATTTCAAATATTTTATTGGCTACCCTTATATTATGTATTTTTTAACTCGTATTCGTAAGAAGTATTTAGAAGTATATACTTTTTTATTTAATAATTCTTCTTACTAAAAATAATTACCACATTTTTTTTCAGCCTATCGGAGAGCCCACTGCTGAGTAAGGACTCTTTCCCTTATGGAGAAGGTTTGAGCGTTAATCACCACGCTTGCTCAAGACGGGTTGGTGATTTCAAACTTATAATTTTTTTGAAATTATAAGTTTCCTCACGATGTTTTCCTTCACCGTCCGTCAGTGGTGTCTAAATACTCTTAGAAAGTAGGTACATATGACTCGGAACGAGTCACATTGGTACTTGCTCGGGCCTGGATACAACCCGCGCCCGCGGCAACGAGAGGCGGGCCCTTTAACCATTGGGTCACCACTGACTTACATATAATTACCACATATTACCAACAATAAAATTTGGCCAAAAATAACTCGAGGATACATGATCAAGAAGTGCGAAAATATAAGTTTCCTTTAAATGAATACTTGCGAAAGAAATAAACCAAGGTAAATTTATATTGTTTAATGTTTACTCGTACTATATGATAACATATTTTCATTATTTCAGATTACCTAACAGCATGAATACCGTGGTATAATTTAAAGCGATTTCAAAATATGTGACTACAGTTGAACCTGATCTATGATCTATGAGATTATACCCGTATGACTGGGCTAAACTAAGTTGGACCTAGTCAGAAAAGAAGCTAAAGAATTGAAGATATCAATAATTGACTGTTTACTGGATATGTTTTCTTTCGCGTTTTGTGTAAGAATTATAAATATGTATAAAAATGACGCCATGCTAACGCCACTTATTATGAATGAAGTGAAATTAAGAATTGAGTTTTGGAAGTAACGGTTTACAATCAAGAATATAAATTAATGAATAATGTAGAAATGTGATATGAGAGTTAGTTACCAATTATTAATTTATCTTTAATCATTTATACCGTATTGGGATTTATCCTTGTAATAACACTAAACCGAAAAGTAAAAATTATTAAATGATCATCTTATGGTACTAGATAGAAGTTTAAGATAAATTTTAGTTAGATAAGTCTAACATAAATGATGATTATTAATGGATTGATGAACTAACTATAAGAAAAACAAGCCAATTTCGTAATGCATCCGAATGAGAAATATTAGGGACATTGTCCATATTTTATAATTTAGAGCAATAGGATTCTTAAGATTTTATATAACAATGAGTAAACATATTTAACAACGAGTTTCAGCGAATATCATACCAACTTTTAAATCAAATTCCTATTTTTCTTACTACCCTTAGAGAGTTACATAATGCTTATTAAATCTATTTTGAAAATATTTTCTTATCATAACTTTTTAGAAATTTTATTGATAAGTTAGTTAATTGTTTGTTTAAATTAAAATATTTTTATCCCCTAACGGATACATAAATACCTATGTGTAGTACAGACTGCGGATACGTTCGGAAATAAGTTATTGAGCCATTTAATATATTTCAACTAGGTGCTAAGACAATAAGATGATTGGAAAATGTCTCCATAATCAGCAGGTTAACTTCATATCTTAAAAGCTAATGTAGAATAAAACCTGAAAACATTTTACAGATGGAACTAACGTAATTCATTAAATTAAAAAGTTATTTTCTTATCTCTTTAATTAGACGTACAGCAAGAGAAATGCAAGTAGTTTATAGATACGTACGTACATTTGAGTTGACAATAATAATTTTAATAAAAAATTACTGTTAAGAGCATACTATTGACAATCAAAATTTTCTTAAGTCACTGAATTATCCTGTATCATATTATGTAAATTGATATTATTCCTTAAATTTATTGTGAAAAAAATTATAAATTTGACATATATACACAGATATCACAAAATATTATATAACATGACATTAAGATTATAGTAGTAAAATAAATGAATTGCGATACTGAAAGTTTATTGTCACAACATAGTATCAAATTGTTGGTTTGACATTTGCCAGTGAACATTAAACATAGTTAATAATAATAGGAACAAATTAGTTTCGAAAAATCCATGATAATTTTACATTTTAATGCCCACGTGCATATCCACTCAGTACCGATTCTAGAATATCGATATATATATTGTCAGCATCGTATTTTTGTCTAAAGTTTTCGTAGTCCTCGGGATTGGTAGTTCTGAGTATCCTTAGGAATTGCCAGTAGCCACGTTTTTGGTGCGGGTTGCATTTCTTGCAAATATTTTCAGTGACCTCTTGAGTTAAATCTGAAATGCATTTTACATTTCAACAGTTATACCGATGAAAATATATTTATAAATAAAATTTTCATTTGGATTTGGACTTTAAACCTATTTGGACTGAAATTATTAAATGAATTATTATTTTTATTTTATTTCAACAATAAAGAACTTTTGACAAGCAAAGCACCTTCTTGAGAAAGTGTATGATAATAATCGGATATACCCTGAATAAAAATAAAGTGATTGCATGTTAAATATCTGTGCAAATCATATTCAATAATAATGGCTGTATCATTACCTCGATAGGCTTTAAAGACGGGCGTGCAGGGTCCCCTGTCCAATAAACAGTCTACAAAGCCCATAAATTCCTTAGGGTCCTTTTCCATACTATCCATATCCAATCTAACAACGTCATAAAACTCGGATTCAGCAACCGCAAAAGCGATTACAGCTAAGAATATTATTGTCTTCATTATGATGAAAAATCCGGCTAGTTCGCTGAAAAATTTATTTAATAAGTAGAAGACAGTTCTATGTATAACTGACAGTGTATAATTTTTAGTATATTTAGTATTATTAATTAAGATTATAAAAATTCCTTACCGATCTATCAAAGCCAAACTATTTTGATGCTGTGTAAAAATGTTTTAAAGTACTTCGTATTTATACTCGGTTGGGTAATTACAATTTATAATAGTTATTAATTTAAAATTCATAAATAGTTATATTATTGAAATTAAGATAATTTAGAAACATCAACAACCATATAAAAACATGAAAGAAGTAATGTTTTAGTCATATATTTATATAACAGAAAGACAAATAATTCAGAAAATTATATTTATATTGTTTCTATGAGTTATTTATCCTTATGCTACGAAAAAATGTATTTTTTTATTAAGTAATGTAAAGGCCCATTTTATTACTCATTTAAGTGCAACACTTAAATGAGTAATTAAACATTAAAAATTTGTTTTTATCATCATGGAAAAGATGATTTATCCAAACATAGTTTAGACCTGCCTCTAGGAGACCAGCTCTCAAATGACTCTCACGGAGAGATATCGATGTGTAACAGAGATTAGAATTGGGGGCTGTTCGAGCGCGACATGTTGGCGCCTGTACCGGTGTACCGTCGATTTATGTTCTATCCCGCTGTACGCTGTCAAAAGAGAGACCAAAAGAGTTAGGAAAGATGGTTCTTCCTCGGTGCCTATGCGCCAAAGAAGGCGGGCTTATGCCCTAATATTATTTATATATTTTTAATTTTTTAATTGCTAATAGTAATAGGTTGGTAATTTGTTATTATCTTTTGTAATTTACATTTTTTATTGTATTGGTAATATTTTTTGTTTCCCCTTTTGTATAATTTGAATTTTGTATAATTTTAATTTCCCCTTTTGTATAATTTAAATAGAAAAAAAAAGTTGTGTTACATTAATAGAAAATACTGTCCTTTTGCATGCCGTGATAACTTTTAACTGAAACAGCACTTAGCTAGAAATGTAATTATTTTTATTAGCTTTTTATTGGCTTTAAATATACGTGTGGCAGAGGAACGATCAACTGCAACGCCACAGGATTTTGATGAATTTAAACATAAGGGTAGACTTCAGAAATGGTGTAATGAACATTACAAAAAGGATTGATCATGGCATCCTGCAAATGGTATTACTTAAGGTTATTTTTAGCCTTAATTGTCAAAAGGTTAATTTCATAATCTTGTTATTAACTGACTTCAAAATAGGATAAGGTTCTCAATTCGTAAAATCTTAAATATCTTATATAAAATCTTCGTAAAATTCGTATTTTCCCCGAATTCTGGAATACTCCTAGGTTGATTTAAAAAAGTCATTTTTTTACCTATGAAATTGATTCCCTTAGATGGTCTTATGGTTATCAAATCAGGTTTTAATATCAGGTATTTATGGGAGCCTTTTAAAATTAAAGGACATTGAAAAAAAATTGGGAAATCAATTCGTTTTTATAAATACCCATCTGAGATACTTTCATGAAGACGTTCATTTTGAAATGACGCTCATTTTTATTAATTTCAGATTCCTGAGCTCGACTTTTCTCATACGAGATGCACGTAAGGAAGGTCCCTCTATTTTGAAATATTTAGTCTATCCTATTTTATAATTACACTGAAAATCAAGATAAAATAATATTGAAGTATAAAATCCGACCTCCACAAAGCAGCATAGACACAGGAATTAAAATGAGAAAATAATTATACCCTTGAATACTATTTCCTAACCTAACCTACCTTCTATTAAATTCTTAATATCTACTCAAAAATCGAGTAAACACCCAATGCTCATAAACGGACACTGTTTTAATTTACTTTTCATTAATTTAATTTAATACCTGACTAAATACAAACAATTTCATAATATAAACACATTTTCACGTCGTTGTTGTTCTTGTTGATGGTTATAGAATTTCATAAATAAATTTATATCATTCAAAGTTTCCTATATGATAATAACTTCGTGAATACCGTAATATTGTTAGCCGCGATGGCTTAATGAGTGACTGCGCAGCAGAGCCCGATCAGTATGACTGGGTTAAACTGGATAAACCCAAGTGGAGTAAAGATCCTAAAGACTTAAAGACATTCGTTGACTGTTTACTGGATACAAGACCGTGCTCGCCTTAAATTTAATATTTGAATTTTTGTATGAACACTTTACAATTAAGTTCTAAATTAGTTATAAATTATTATTAATTTACCTTAAGTCTTTTATACCTTTTTGGAATTTATTCTTGTAATAAAACTAATTAACAAAGTAAAACTTATTAAATCTACAGTCTTTTGCTACTAGACAGAATTTTAAGATAACTTTTATCAAGACTAGTACATATAATAAAAAAGACAATTATAAATACATAGATGGTTTTTTTTATAGGTACCTTATAAAGAGAAAAACCAATCTCATAATGCATAGAATGAGAAATATCAGGAACATTGGCCACATTTTATACTTTATAGCAAAGGCATTCTTAATTTTTATGCAATAGTTAGTAAACATATAAAAAAGCTAAACGATATCAATGTTATATTAACCAATCTCAAATGTATACTACTTCTTTCATACTTCTTTCCATATAGAATTCAGTAATACCTATAAAATGTATGTATTTCAAATACAAGATATTCAGACGGTAGGGAACTTCTAAGCAGAACATTTTAACTATTACATTTAATAAGTTAAAAAAAAATACGGTAAATTATTATTTATATTCCCTAAAAAATACACATGTGTATCTTAGAACAAAGATACATACGGAAATAAGTGATTGTGCTATGATTTAATAGGACAATAAGGTCATTGAAAAGTGTCGCCATAATCACCAGGTTGACTTCATCCTACAAAAGCTGATATAATGAAACCTGGAAACAGTTACAGAAAGATCAAACATAGTACTTGAAATTAAAAAGTCTTTCCTTGTCTCTTTAATAAGTATTACACTAGGAGAGTTCATACAGAGTTTATAGTACATACATCTGGATTGAAAATAATTTGATTAAGGAGATATGCACAGTTTTAAGGAACAAAATTTTGTTGGATTAAATTTCCCGATATCTAATTATGTACATTTATTTTATTCATTAAATTCATTATTTCATATAAAATAATGTAATTTTTTTACATATACGTACATTATAATGTTTTATATTTGTAACAGGACTTAATAAAACCAATAAATTGAGATACTGTAAGTTTATTGTGACAATATATTTTCAAATTGTTAGTTTGACATTAGATATCTAATAGTTTACATTAAAACATGATTAATAATAGGAACAAACACTGTTTTTATAAATCCATAATTTCTATTTAATGCCGACGTGCGTATCCACTCAGTACTGATTCTAGAATGTCGATATATATGTTGTCAGCATCGTACTTTTGTCTAAAGTTTTCGTAGTCCTCGGGATTGCTCGTTCTGAGTACTTTCAGGAATTGCCAGTAACCACGTTTTTGGTGCGGGCTGCATTTCTTGCAAATACTTTCAGTGACTTCGTTAGTTAACTCTGTAAAATCATTTAACGTTTTAATTTTAATGCGTGTGACAATATCATTTAAAAATGAAATTGGGATTTGTACCAATCTTTTAAATTAACTTTAGTAACATTAAAAATAAGATTTTTCAAAAACATTAATCTTATCTTTAGAATATTTCTACGATACACAACTTTTTACAAGCAAAACACATTCCTGGGAAAGTGGTTGAAAATTAGGTATACTCTCTGATTTCGAATACATTGATTGTATGTTACGAAAATGTGCAAATCATGTTAATGGCTATACAATTACCTCGATAGGCGCTATAGACGGGCGTGCAGGGTCCCCTGTCCAATAAACAGTCTACAAAACCCTTAAATTCCTGGGGGTCTTTCTCCATCTTATCTATATCCAATCTAACAACGTCATAAAACTTGGAATCGGCAACCGCAAATGCGATTACAGCTAAAAATATAATTGTCTTCATTATGATGAAAAATCTGGAGTGTTCACTGAAAAATGTATTTAGTAAGAATAAGAAAGTTAAAAATACTTTTAGTAAATTTATCATTATTAATAAAGATTATAAACATTCCTTACCGATCTATCAAAACCAAACTATTTTGATGCTGTGTAAAAATGTTTAAAAGTAATTCGTATTTATACTCGGTTCGGCAATTACAATTTATAATCATTATTAATTTAAAATACATAAATAGTTTTATTATTGAAATTAAGATGATTTAGAAATAGCAATAATCATATAAAAACATTAAAGAAGTAATGTTTTAGTCATATATTTATATAACAGAAAGACAAATAATTCAGAAAATTATATTGATATTGGTTCTATGATTTCTTTATTTTTATGTTACGAAACAAAATGTAAAAAAAATGAACCTTTATTAAGCTTCATCACAAGAATAGTAACAGTGCAGCACTTATAAAATTAAAAATACCTTATATATTTTTGGAAAAGATGATATTAACTAAACAAAGGTTAGATCTGCCTCAAGGACATGGCCCTCGAATGATTTTCACAGATAGACATCGACGTTGACATCTGGTTGGTTTAAATTTGGGACTTAAAAAACATAATTACAAATAAATTAAAAGTAATATTTTATTTTAACTTTTCAATAATTTACAATTAACAATCCATTTCATATAAGAGAATATAGTTTTTGTATTTGTGAAACTCAAGTAAGCAATTTTTACTTTAGCATTAACCCGATAAGATTTTCAATTTCGTTAACATATGTTTAATTTCTAGCAGTCGTCCCTACTGAATGTTTGAAACATATTTAGTACAAACTTATAAGCCAGTCAACTTAATTCTGTCTATTTTAATACATATATTTAATAAATAACACATACCTAATAAGAAATATCAAAACCTAAACACAAAAACTAGGTCACAATTTATTAATGAATATTTTTAATGGAATAATCACTCATGTTTAAGGTTTAGACTTTAGAGTACTTTCAAAAGAATAAAATATTTTTTTAGCAAAATTCAAACACTTCTATATATCAACCTAGGAACTAGGGACTAAAATCCAAAAAACAATTTACACCTTAACACTATTTCCTATTTCTAATTATAAACTCTAAATATCTGGACAAAAATGTACTAAACTCTTGATGTAGATAAACTAACATGTTTTTACATATTTACTTTCCAATTATCTAAATTAATACCTAACTAAATATCTACAATGACTTAAAATCGAATTACTGTTTAGAGTCGGTGCCAAAAAGATCCATGGCTATCGTGTAAAAGATATGCTATCGATTAAAAAACCCAAAACCACCTTATCGGATGACGGTGTTGCTTGTCATCGGGATTGGTATTTATTGATTCCAGCCTTTAGGCGAATGAACCGCCAAAAATTTATTACTGTTGATATTTAGGACACATAAGAAACAGGTAAGGTTGACGGTAAGAAACAGAGGGTTATATAGTCCCTCTTTCATGAAATGGAATTTTAATCGACAATGTTTTCTTTTATCTCGATTTTTCCTTTTGATGTGCTGAGGGTGAAAACATAAATTTTTAAGACAAATTTATTCCAGTAACTTATATTCATTAAAAAAATTTACCACCCTATCAAGCTTTGTAACTGCAATAAAATTAATACGTAAAAAAACTTATGGTAAATAACCTCCAGTAATAGCAAAAACTATGTTCTGATCAACACTGTATAAAGATATTTTAAATTTTAAATCTATATATTTTATAGTTCATCCATTTTCTCATACTAAAACCTTTTGTCTATAGAACACAATAGAATATAAAGTATGAATACGCAACAACGTTTTATGCTAAAATAATACAATAAGTAATTTATTTCTTAATTAATTCAATAAAATAGTACATACTACGAAAAGTCAGTGGTGACCTAGTAGTTAAAAGGCCCGCCTCTCATGCACGAGGGCGCGGGTTCGATCCTGGCAAGTACCAATGTGATTTTTCCGAGTCATATGTACTTTCTAAAATTATTTAGACATCACTGATTAATGCTGATTCCCAAAAGAGGGTTGATGTCAGGCAAGCGGCCGGTCGTGAAACAATTAGCTAAAACTATTCACAACACGTAGGGCAGACCCTGGTTAAAGCTGGGAAATTGCCAGGTAGAAGAAGAAGTACTACGATTGCAAACTTTAAAAATATTTCTTTAAATTTAATAAAATATGTTTAGATTTAATATTTAATACATAGACTATTTCTAAAACACTTCTTCATCATAATTAATTTTAAAATATACATATTTCAACGCTATTTTATACACTTGATTCACAAGAATATGAGCCAGTAGATTGCAACTCTTACAAGAATTAATCAATCTCTTTAAACTTGCACTGCTCTTAATAAATAACACTTTCTATCATCATATACCTACGTTCGAGCTATGGATTCCATTAAAGATACCTGAATCATTACCAGAGTGTACGAGTTCCAGTATGATCTGTAGGCTTCATGCACTCCTGCTTTTTCATCATCACTCTCAGCGGAATTTAGTCCCTTCGGAGTCGTTATTTTGACTATTGTTAAAAGGTTACAACCCCAGGTGAACTTTATCGTCAAAGAAATGGATGTACAGAAAATCAGGAGAAGACGCAAAATAATATTTCTTCACGAAATACCTGAAAATAAATTGAAGGTCACCAAAGGTCGAGTAAAATATATCACCGAAGCATTAATGTACCTTTAAATTTTCTCCTGCCAGTGTTAAATCATCCCATCGATTGGGCCGCCTTCCAGATGACAACCTTAGGCCTTTTGTTATTAAATTTATAGTATTGTGGGTTTATCTAGGGTTTAAAAACTACACAGCGGTCGAAAAATCTTAACAACAAGTAATGTCTTGTAATGTTGTGTTATTGGTTTACTACTGTGCACTTTTGTGAGTCGTCTTGTCATATTCATAATTATTATTCTTTCTACCCTCTTTTTTAATTTGTGAATTTTTAATCATTGCTTTTCTGCATTACATTCTATTGGATCGTTTTTATGTTTTTTAATGTTGAGTTTTTTTTTTATTTAAGAAACTCAACATTTTAAAAAAATATGTTCTATAATATATTCTCAAATAACGGAACAGCTAAATGTTTATGACAGATTGCTGTGCTAAGCAGGAATCAAAGAAAAAATAATAATAATATATTCTGTTATTGAAAGTCTTATTACTTATTTTTATAATAGTGATCATGATATTTTATTACGATCTTTTAGCATTCCTATTATTTTATGCTATTTTATTTAATGTTTACCTTATAATTAAAACGATTTATTTCTTCTTATTTTTACCATAATATCTGTATTCCTAAGATTTTATCATACTATAAATTATGAGTGTTGACCAAGAATAACGTTATTAACTCCCAGTATGTACCTAAACTGTCTTAATCCAATCTTTAATTTAAATTTTAGACTGCGCAGACACTTGCTAAAGCCGCCCGACTCTAAAGACGATGAAAGAAGAACAATTTATGAAACTAGAGCGCCTTCAAACCCTAAAGGGTACGGTAAACCGTTGGTTTATGTTTGGAATTCAGAAATATGACCATATATCCTATTTTGACTTTTGATTTTGACTTTACTGTAGTTACCCTTTTTCAACAACCCTTGAACTTATTATTTACAAGAACGGTTCGAGTTTCTTAGTGATTCTTTCAACCGTCCTCTTTTCTCTGAATAAAACTTTTGTTTTAATAAAACTTCTGTAATTACTGCTATTCCACATTGGATTTACCGATTAAAGTTACTAAGTCAGAATAGTCATTTAATCGTTTCATAAATTTATATTTAATATGATATGTAACAGAAATTAAAATTATTATTAATGTGATATGCTTATATTATTTTAGATTATTTAGTTTAAGATCTGTTGTGTAATATTTGTAATATTCACATTTGCACCCTAAGTGTTATTTTTATATTTTCTTTTATTTCTACGCCCATAACATACCAAATATATGAGCGGTCTCTTCCTTGTCGGTTGTATGAAAAAGATCGCTCTTTAGCGATTAAATCAACAAGATTATAAATTTCAGTTTACGATAATTCTTATAATTGTTAATTTAAGTTTATACAATAAAGGATACATTATCGGAACTGGCAAATTAAATAAAGAAATATAAAATATATGTAGTTTAAGATCATTTATGACTTTTTAAATATTTTTTTGAATGTTCCTAACGAAGTACTCTTCGAAATAGTAATTTGTTTTATGGTATATTCCCAGAGTCCTAAATTAAAAGTAATTTTAGTGTAAAATAGTTTGATAGAAACAAAGATTTAGCGGCTAATAGTAAATTAAAAGTATATCAAAGTAGGCCTATGTAATATAGTTTTATAACATTTTGTAATTACAAATTGTCGTTGCTATTATGAATAATCTATTTTTAATGTTATTTCTGTTAATTGTTTTAAACCAAATGGTTATGAATTTTGTAATTACAAACTATTTATAAACAGTCTGATTTTTGAATTTTCTATCATAATTAAACTATATCACCGTCGATAAAAGCGTGAGGTAAGAAAATAAAATGTAATTTAATCTGTTTATACATATATTATAATTCTATTACTCATTAAAATGTTATCTTGTTGGTAATTTTCTAGATTTATCTTCGTTATGAAGTCTATCGTTTTCTTAGCTGTTATTGCAATGGCGTTTGCTGTAAATCCGTATTACGACCTCGTCAAAGTGGATATGGACAACATAACTAAAGATCCTGTTGAATTGCGGAAACTTAGTGACTGTTTATTAGACAGAGGACCGTGTACACCTGTTTATAACACTTATAAAGGTAAAAAAATATATTTCAATATCCAACATATAAGCAGAATATTTTTTTTAGAATTAGAAGAACTTATACGTTTTTTATGATTTAATAATTAATACATTTTTAAAATATTTTTTTTCACAGCTGTCACCAAGGAGGCCATTGAGAGTTTGTGTACGAAATGTAGCCCGTACCAAAAACATATTTTCTGGCAGTTTTTGCAAGCACTTAGAGCTACATCTCCAAGTGATTACATCATGTATAAACAAAAGTACGATGTCGATAACAAATATTTCGGCATTCTAGAGTCAATTTTGAATCAATTCACTGATTCATATTAAAAAAGTTACAACTCTCCAACATGTATCCCAAAAACATAATTAAAGAATATTTTTTTCTCCAACTATGGTCTCAGTTTATTTGACATCTATTACAAATCATTTTAATGTTAATTATTGTTCAAATTATTTAGAATGAAATACTTTTATATATGTATTTGCAAAATAATTTCTGTTCTTACTGTCTGGATCCACGAGATGAAAATATTTTTGATTCGTCAAGTGTGAACAGATATTTTTATCTTTTAACATTTGACTCCTCTTGATTTTTATTGCCTTTTAAAAATATATTTATAGTCGCATTGTAACATAATCACAGATGGATAACCACTGTCAAGCCTCCGCTGGGACGTGAGTTCCCTTTTTCGTTTTACATCTACCATGGGGAAAGTTATAGAAAATTGATTGAGGTATTGTCTATGTCACATTACCTCATTCAGGGCCACAGGCTAGAGTGGCATCACCTATATGCCTTTCATCATAAGAAAGTAGGTGCGTCGCGAACATTATTTTTCCGCTGTTGAAGGATGAGTAATTACCCCTCTCCTAAGGTTTTCCCAGAGAGTTACTAGATTTCCAAAGAGATATCAGATCCTAGAGAGCTATGAAATTTATTAAAAGTCAGATTTACAATTACATACCTTCTGTATCTTTAATCACTTACCATCAAATGGACCGTCTGATCGTCAAACTATATATAGTATAGTAGTACTATACATACATTATTTGATTTATAGTATATTTGGACATTGTTCAAATCTAAAATAGTATTTAGAAAAAAATAAAATAAAATGAAAAGATTTAGAAAAAATAAATAAATATGTTCATAAAATATAATTGTTTAATGCATTCATTTTAATTAAAAATACATGAAGTAGTTTTCAAAATTCAATTGAATGAAAACATTCAATGTTATATGAGCCTTATAAATTTTGGATATATGTAAAATTTTTAGGCATTAACCTGTTTTAGTATAGCTGCAGACTGCTGAGAGTTACACTACTACTATTACAACTACTTAAAAACGACTTATATAATTACTACAACAGCCACAATACACTACACAAAATTAGGTGCATTTAAATATTTTGTTTATATTTACATATCTTATAGACTAGTTTCTACCTGCACACTTATTTAATTTCAACCATCGTAAATAACATATTGCCATGTTATATAAAAAAACTAGGAATTAATTGCTTGTTAGAAAAAAATAATTGTTTTATAAAAATATTACATATTATTTGATATGAAACAATTTAGACTACAGTAAGCGTTCTTAATAGTCATCATCGTTTACAAATAATCATTTTTTAATTTTGTTGCTGTTAATTTCTTTTAAATTAATAATAATTACAAATTGTTATTGCTTAAAAATTTAAATAGATGTATTTTTAAAATAATTAACAGAATTATAAAACATTGACAGTAATTGGTAAGAAATGAATACAACATAAACTTATATATAATGTATAATATAAAGGCAATTAATAATATTTATTTTTTTCTATGACATGTGTATTTGCGGTAACTTTTCAGATTTTTTATAATATAAAGACAATAGTTTTCCTAGTACCCGAATATTATGAAATTGCTGAATTGGATATGAATAAGTTAATAAGCAATTCTAGTTCAAAAAAATTACAATTTCATATTCTCTTCAGTCTAGGAAATTAAACAAAAGAAAATACATAGTTTGTTAAGGAGTCAATATCATATATAAAGATATATACACAAGTGTGTATGTCGTCATACTAAGTTTACTGGAAATTAATCAACATTTATTACATTGAATTAAAATTCTATCTTTTATCAGATTTGATACACTATAAATTGTAAAGAATCACAATTATTTTTTATGAAGCCAACATTGAATTGAGAAATTGATAAAGATGTACGATCATTAAGTTAAAGAAAAAATATTTAACTAGCAAGTCAGAAAGTCACGAAATTTTAATAAAAAATAGTCACTATTTCCTTTGAACAAAGTCGTAAAGTTAACAAATAAATTAATTAAGAAAGTTGTTACAGACTATTGAATTCTTCAACCAAGTATTTTCGATAATGTTAAGACAAAAATTGTTTTAAATTAAACTATTTTGATATCAATTGCAAACAAGATGCTTTGCACAATTAGCATTCTAGTGTGAAGGTCTCCTGTCTGACAGACGCTCTTAAATTAAATTTAACTTGTCGCTAAACTATGGGATGCATATCACACAGCATTACTTCTTTATACATCAAAAGCGCTCTTATTCATCAAAGAGGAATAAAGTCAATAAAATTTGAACTCTTTGAACCTAGAGCTGGTTTAAGCGTGAGCAGATCTGCAGATGGAAAGTATAGTGCGAGAACGACGATATTTCACTACAAAGACCTCAATCCTCGGGTTATTAATTATCCAACTGAATTAATTTTCCTAAAAGAAATTCCATAAAGAGTTTTAATAATTTTAATATCCTATTGCATATTTAATATTTCATTTTGTTACATTTTTTGCGAGGTATTGAAACTTGTTACAATAATACATTTTACAGTATTGGTAAGAAGGGTAAAGATACTGGTTTATATTTTTCTAGCTCCTTCATCAAAGGTTCGTAGTATATATGTTCAGGATCATATTTCTTCCAAAACTCGTTGTAATCCTCAGGGAATACGGGTTTAATTATATGGAGGAACCTCCAAAACAACTGTTTTTGATCTGGACTACATCTCTTGCAAGCCTGTGCTACCGCCTCTGCAAGATTTTCTGTAAAAGTACAAAAATAATAGACGTAAATATTTTATCATTTATCATAAAATTGCGGTGTAATAGATTTTAGATATTGAAATAACATCAGTTAAAATAACATTACAAAATTATGTAGCATGTCTAATTACTTTTATAACTCGCTCCCACCCTGCAGCAGGGTCCTCTGTCTAGAAAGCAGTTAATATAACTGATCATATTAAGAGGTTGTGCGGCTAAAGCCTCTATATCCAGCCCAGTATTATCTGTGATGTAGTAATCTATAGGGTCTGCCGCAGCTAGTGCCCAGAGGGAGATAAGTATAAATGTCTTCATTGTGAAATCTGTAACAATAATCAAGCAGTCGATATTACTTAATTCTGCTTATTAATATATTACAATACCTAGGATAGGACGAAATCCAATATTGTAATCAAAATTTTACATGAAGAATAAAGGAAACGCCTAAAAGTTCATTTTATACAGACTCATCGTATCAACTAAAATAAACAATGAATTGAAATTAATTAAGGAAGTAATTATTCTTTCATGCTACTTTGCCTAGTATTTTTTATCGTAAAGGTCGCAAATAACCAGGCGGTCTATACTATGGTAGGTAGTTACCGTCACCCACGGACATCTGTAACATAGTGTTGAGGATATATTGCCTGCCTTGAGGTGAAGGGAAGAATGGAAGGATGCTGAAGGTCTTACAACATTTTTGTCAAATAGCATTGACTTTGATCTAAATTGAGAGTTTAGTTTTATGAGTAGCTAGCACGGGGTATAGAAGGGCCCCCGATCCGGCCCGCAGTTGCAGGGTCTTCCTGAACCCTATGCAAGTGAAACACACTAAACACCTCAAAACAGACTTATATTGATGCAGGACGAAAGGATTTCTCACACATTTACATATAGAACATGTTCCATTTGTAATTACTTTACCACAGCTAGGCTCTACCTCCCATATAATTATTTTTCAGAGACAAATTAAAAAAGCAATAGATATGGTATCAAACCGGCATTTATACTTTGTGTCACGAGTCGACATACACAATACCACTCTTAAGTCTTAATTAACCAAAATTTGCCATAAATTATAGTCTCATATTTTGATGTCGAAGCTACATTACTGTAAAATTTCATCAAAACCCGCTTACTACTTTGTACATGAATAAGCAAAGGATGAATGCGAAAGTTTGCGATATTGTATTAAAATGTACAGATTCTTTAAACGTTAAAATACCATAAAAACGTTCATAATAACGACAATAGCAAAATTTATTATTCAACATTTAACATATACGATTAATTCAACTTACTGTAGTAAAATCACTAAACAAAAATATTTAACAATAAGTTCAACTAAAATAGAATTTAAAATATTATACACTCTTTTATATATAATTCGATTTATAAAACATCACATTCAACAAAGCTAGCAAAATACAATACAATGAAATTAATCACGTAATGCAAATTTTAATATAATATTCATGGTGAAGAATATTTGTAAAATATATTGAATATGAAGCAATGTTAGTGACAATAATGTAAACATTGAATTTAGACTAGTTAAAAAAATACATTCTGTCAGCACACAGAATGTGCTGTGCTGTTTTTAATTCTGTAGCAGATATAATATGTGACAAATCCGTTTCCTCAAAAAGATTATAAATTTCAAACCAAGTAAATTGTTGCCATTATTGAGTGGTATCTCATTAGTATACGATTAATCTGACTTGTTTAAACCATTTTGAAAACATTGATTACTTACTTAACTTGATTCATTTGTTAAAAATGCAGTTATTGCAATAACTGATTTCGTAATTACACTTTAGTGGGGAGAACATTTTAATTAGTCAACTTGTATATAAAACTTTAATTACTTGAGTTATTTATACAAAATATTTGACACTATACCAATTTCTTGTTCAAAATGAAGGTAGTGATAATTTTAGCGACACTAGTAACAGTGGTCTTGACACAGGAAAAATATAGCTCTGATCTTGACAATTTTAACATTGATGAGTTATTGGAGAACGATCGGCTTTTGGAAGCTTATGGCAAATGCCTCGTGTACAGAGGACCCTGCACTTCACAAGGAAAGGAATTTCGAAGTAAGTGAACATACCTATTAATTATATACCTTTTACGTTCCTATAAACTACAGTAAATTATTTTGATTCGTCTGTTCTTAATGTGCTACATATGTTAAACAATTTATCTTGTTGATTTATATACTATAAGTATGTTTAGTTAAAATAAATGTTATATAACAAAGACCTATAAGTTTCAACATGGGTGTGTTTACCACAACTTTACATAGACAAACTACATATCGAGATAACTCATACCCTTTTTATTAAATCTTCTCAGACATATTAAAGTCAGTTATGAAATAAAAAATAATATAATTCTAACCTGTGGAAAAATTACTGTAAATATTTTCAGTTTTATAATATTTTAAAGAATTGCATAGCACTAACATTTAAATAATAGAAATATCACACCTTGGTTTCTAAATTGAGATTTATGAAAAATCATATTAAAGTTATATCTAGGAAGATATAACTTCTGCCTAACATTAAATATTTATAACATTAAAATTTTTTTTGCTACCTACTTTAGAGTTGTCTTTCGATTTCAGAACTAATGCCAGAAGCAATTAAAACAACTTGTCTTAAGTGCACTCTGAAGCAACGTGAAATGGTCCGAAAAGCAGCTAAAGCTCTTAAGGTTAAATGGCCTAAAATATGGAACGAGCTAGTAAAACAAGAAGATCCTAAAGGAGAGTTTAAACAAAAGTTTGAAGATTTCCTTCAGAGATCCGATTAATATTATTTACAGTATTGCATTATTATTTTAACAGTAAGCAGCTTATTCTTAATTCTATTAATAGCAATGTTTCGTTTAATTGTATTAGATAATTAAAAAATAAACTCTTAGCAAAGAATATTATGTAAATTATGGTTTTGTAACATCACATTTATAATAAAAATAAAGTAGTCACTGTTAATTAAAATAATGTTTGATTTCTCTCACGAAAATGATTATATATATTTTTTCTCTATTAAAATAGAATCTTCTATTTTTTAGAAGATTCTCAACTTCTCCCTAAATGTATTAATAAATATGTCTAATAAGACAGTATGTAAATACATATTCATTTAGAATGAATCTCGAATATTTAATTTTGAAACAAATGTCGTTAACATAATGCGTTAAATTTTGTGAACGTCCAAAAGTCTATTAGAGTGATTTGTATCTTCTATTGGCTTGAAATTCAATATATATTTATGAATATATTCGATGGACCTTATCCGAGTGTAGGAAATCTGTGTTAAAATTAATGTGTTTCGGTTACTTTACATCAACCATGATCACAGGCAGACGAGATGTGACTCTATGAGTATCCGAAACGTCAGGAGTATGTACTTTTTGACAAAAATAAAAAATCGCGTCGTACATCCTAGGAACTGTATTTCTATTTATACCTGAGCTGTGAGTATATCTGTGAAGCCTTATCTTGAGAAGTATTTCGGAAGTATAGTTTGTTACCTAGGCTAAATTCGGAGCGCTGCTGTTAGCCCGAACATACTACATGGTATTTTAATTCTAAGCTTATTTTTTCTAATGACTATATATAAATAAAGAACAGAAGATTTTTTCAATCACTTGTCATTTTATTGATTTCCTATTGTCAAAATTAATAAAAAAATTCAAAAAAGGATTCAAACTTCAATTCTCTTCTTCACCCTCTTTTTTCCTTCTTTTTAATCGTCGTCATCGTTCCTCTTTTACAGTTACAGAATATTGTATTAAGTAGGTAATTCATCTAGAGCAGGTGTTAAAATATTTGTGAAAGGTTCCAGAAATTCTGCTTATTCCAACTCCTTCCTTGGGGTTTTAAATCATTACCTAACCATGTTTAAATTTGATTATAAACGATATTGAAATATTAATAAGCTACTCGAAGCGTTAATCTAAAATTTGGTAGTCACCCAAGTTTATTCGACTTCGTGGACTTGACGTTTAGTGCACCAAGGAGACGATCAATAATATGCACAAATATTTGAACATTATAAACTGCTAATAAGTTTTGGATTTAACTTTCAAATAATCCTAACCATATTGTTTTTTTTCCGAATAATGCAACAAGTTCTGTGGGCAGTTTCTCAAATGTTGTTAAAAACAATCTTTGTCCCTTTAAGTTAAATAAAAAATGATAATTCTTTGAAAGACCGCCCTACGCCCTCTATCTCGAAACCAGTTCAAGATATTTAAAAAATGTTAAATTGTAGAAAAGTAATACAGAACTTTAACTAACTTGAAAAATATTAAAATATTCGATTTTTGTGACCTTTCAACTCTGAAACTTACAACCATACAGTTAAACGTCAATTTTGAGAATAGTTTTAATATGCCAAAGTACATTTTTTATGTAGTCGTTTACTGGATAGGTCATTATCCCGTGGTCAATCCCCTATAATTACCTGACTACATGTCATCTGCAAGAGTTAACCTTGAAAGCTAATCCAGAGACACCTTCTGAGTTCATTGTTTACCGTTATGTGATAATAAGCTTGATAAGCTTAACTTAAGCCCGTCTTTACCCTGCAATCACATTGTTAGAGAATGTTATGTTATTTATGTTGATGAAACAGATAGAAAGTTTTGGCTTCATATTTTAATGCGTTGATATCAAGATTTATTCAACATTTTCCTTCGGATTTGGATATTACGAATAAAGGAGAGATAAAGGAAAGTTTTATAGGTTCGGACTCCAATACTGAAAACCTAATTAAATATCAACCGAAGTTGAGTTAACATTTAATGTTGAGTTTTAGTTTGAAACTCACTAAAATATCTAAAGTTGGACAAATTAGTGGTGGTTGTTAATTGACTGGTATTTGGAGAGTAATACCTATTTTTCTTATTGGTTGTTGTTTATGTAAAGAACTCGAATTTTTTGACAATCCTATTAACTCATTTATTTGTAAATCCCAGCTTTCCACCCTTTCGATTTTTATACGTATTTATCCTCCCGTTTTTCATATCATATAAAAATAATAATTATATTTGGTTTATAATTCTTAATAGAATCATCACCAAGGGAACCTTAAAAAGCCAGAACGTGTTGACGTAAACAAACAATAATTATATTTTTATTTGTGTATAAAAACATGATTTAAATAAATTTAATTAAAATAATTTTTAGATTATTAAGTATAACAACGATGGTTTAATGAGCCGTTATGCAATATTATTTCTAATAATTCGAGTATGTAAATGTAATTAATGTATCAGCAATTAGATAATGTGCGTCAGTTTTATATCGTGCATTTTAAAATGAATATTCTCATCTGAGTTTATAAGACATATTTGTATAATTAATATATTTTTTCTATTATAAATACTCTTATATAGTCAAGAGTATGCAAAATAAAAAAAATATTAATTCTTATAGAAGAGATATGTAATTAACAAAAGAAAAATTATCGCTCTTTCCTCACTTGTTCGGATATTTATAAAAATTTCTTGATCTCTTCTGACGACCATTTTGCTGTCGCTAAATTAGGTATATGGTTGACTACTAAATTACAGACAAAAAATTAAATCTCAATCATGATAAATTTTATCATGTAAGTAATAATTTTAAGTAAATCTTTTAAAAATTGTAATTATAATAATTACCATACTTTACCAGTGTTAAAATTCAACTCTAGGTGATTGATTGAAAAATATCTAAACACATTGTCATTTTACCCATCTTCAATCTTTCTACTGATCCAAAAGTTATTAAAGACAATGGCAGCATGTATTTTATTCTGGTGTTATTTACTGAATTTCTATCTGGAAATAATGAAGATGTCAGAAGCAAATACAGTTCAATTGAAAAGCACTCCTACAGTAATTCCACCTTGTATTCAAGGCTTGAACTATAAAAGTTAGGAGAATATATTGTATAATATAATAATAACAAAGAATATAAAAATACTTTTATTTGAAATGCTGCAGTCAATTTAGATGTAAAATATGTAGTTAATTATAATCATCAAAACAAATAACAAAAGGACTTGTGAAAACCATATTTAAAATTTCACTGGGGATATAGTTGACTTTATCACATAAAAATTGATTTCTTAATCAGAGCCGTTAAGGAATTTTTCGAAGGATTCTTTGTATTCTCCCTTAGGGTCTTCTTTCTTGACAAGCTCTGACCAGAGTTCTGGCAAGTCCTTCTGGAAGCCGCGAACTACGGTGCGGATAAGTTCGCGTTGTTTCGGTGTGCATTTAGCGCATGTTGTACGAAGGGCTTCAGGAATTGTTTCTGTAATAAAAAAAAGAAACTGTAAGTGTCTTTATATTCAAATAATTACTTTTTTAGTTTCAAGCGAATCAAACACTTTGAGTATATGTATATTTTTTATCTTCTGTAATAGTATCTACTAGTACGAAATTTATTGCAAAAGTTTTTATTACGAACAAGTTCTCATCTGTTTACAGTTTTTATTTAATATTGTGTTATTTTTATAAACATTTGAAATAATATTATTTCTCATATAAATTTTATTTTCTTGGTGCATAGGCTACAAATGTTTAAACATGATCATAAGATGTTTTAGATAAGATAATTTATAGTAAGAAATCATTGCTTTCTAATACTTACTTTTAAAGTCCGAACCCTCAGGCGTGCATGGGCCCTGATCAAGGAAGCATTTGCCATAGTTTTTCAGAAGTCGTGTGTTCTCCACCAGTTCTTTAGCATTGAAGTTATCATATTCAGGATTGTAGGTATCAGCTGGGAGGGCCAGCGCCGCAGCCAAGCACATAGCGAATACGATGAAAGTCTTCATTCTGTTTAAACAGTTTTAAATATAAGAGAAAAACTTTCGCTCCTTACAATGCAATATGCAGATTAAAAAACCCTTCCAGATTATAGTAATTATGGCTCTTAACTTTCATGACTTATATGAGTTCTATCAAAATATTTTTAACTTAAGTATGACGTCGAAATATATTTTTTCTTTTTAGAGTTGCAAATCAATTGCAATTAGAATCCCTAATAATTAAAGATTAGTTATGGATCTAACAAATATATTTTAAAATATTTCCTACTTACGTTACAAGTATCTTGTATCCTCGTTGAGATAATACTGTGTGTATAATCGTTCAAGATTCTTTTATATAGATCTTGCAGAAGGAAAACATGTCTATACGAATTGGTCGGTAAACTCAATGGATTGAATAATTGTAAACATTATATGTCATGTTTGATGACGCAGAATTGATCTAAGAAAAACATAGCCTCTTATAATTGAATTCTGTTTTGATTGTATTAACCAAAATAGTGTTTTTCAATAAGTTGCCATCAAAAGGTGTAAATTAAATTTGTAAACCATGAAGTAAAATTCTGATTCAGTGCCAAATGTATTGTTTCTATTTTCATTGGTGACAGTATTTTAAGTGTTTGTGAAAATGTTTAATGAATTGTATTATTTTGTTATGCTTTAAAGTTTTAAGTTATATTGAAAAAAATTGATGAATAAAAATATTATTTGTATAAGATGCAAAAATTTATACCCACAAGTGACTAATTACTGTCAGGATAATTTGGTTCAAATCACTGTAAATATTAAATCGTCCTCATCTTATTCGATAATTATTGTATTCCATCATTTTAATTATTTAGCGTTTTTATAAGAAATCATTACAAATTATAAAAATATTTAAATTATTGAATTATAAATAAAATATTAAATAATAACATTTCAAAATTCGTGATTGTTTTAATAAAGGGTTAATACTAGGTCCACAATAATAAATTTATGATATCCCCTAATACACCTAATACATAGGTTTAATACAACATAACAGACGTTTTTTAATTCAAATGTGTGTTTTAGTTTTAAGAGTTCTGTGATGCCTGGTAGAAATATACTACATATTTTGCATGACAAACCTTTCTTTTATAACGTTAGTAAGGCTTAACGACAATTGACAATAAAATTTTTCTACACACATATATGTATTTAATGCCACTTTATAGTTACAGACAAAGGCAGCTTTTTCCTTTATATTTACAAACTTTTTATTAAAACGATAGTAAAAGCTTTTAAACATTTGGCAAATAAATTGAGTTAAGTATTTTTTTCCTAAACAAACGTATTTTACTCCACTTGAAAGTTATAGACAAAGGCAGCTTTTTAAATTTATATTTGCGTATAGGCATAAAAGAAATTTCAATTTTTTACCACCTACTTATATCTTATAGTCCATATTTAAAAAAAATATTAAAATCTTAAATAGTGTGGAAACTAAAACTAAACAAAAAAAAAACAAGAAAACATTGGTTTTTACTTCGGATATTAAAAAACTTACTTCCTTAAACAATGACGAACTAACACATTCATTAATGTATACAGTGGTTATCATACATCTAACAAGATAGCAACGGCCTTTCTGTAAAACGACCATTAAAATTCTCAGCATGAGTGATTTTATTATTAATTCCCTTATTTATACACCGTTCACGGTTCTTATCCTCTAACATCATCTTCAGCTTTATAGTTAAATTACCACATTCCGATTAGTTTGCCTTCATAAAACTACAAAACACACTTCCTAAAATTAAATTAAAAAATTGTAGGGACCAAAGGTAATACCTACTGAGATAGATGTTGTTAATGTTTCGACATTTAAAAACTTAGTACATGAATGATATTTTTTATAGTGTAATAAAAAAATCAATCTTCTTATATTTCAAGACACTCATAACAAGGTCAGCTGTTGCCTATTATCAGGCCCCATTTGGGTCTAGACACCAAAGCTTACTACGTCTATAAAGCTAGAAAGGTCAAATCAACAAAATCACTTGTTTTTTATCTTCTTCTATCTGGCAATATCCCAGCTTTAGCCAGGGTCTGCCTTACATGTTGTGAATAGTTTTGGCTAATTGTTTTTATGACCGGCCGCCTGCCTGACATTAACCCTTTCTGGGAATGCATTAATCAGTGATATCTAAATACTCTTAGAAAGTAGATATGACTCGGGAAAATCACATTGGTACTTGCAAAAATCCTTTGCTTTTTCAATCAATTCCATTTGTTCTCAGGCCGTAGTTTAGCCTTTTTTCACTGTAATATTGGCAGCACTATATGGTGATTTCTTTCAATTCCAATAATTCCTATTTAAGAGTATATTCTAGATTTTAAAGCTGCTGACGTCGTTAAACTAGCAACAGTTGATTTAAAAAACAATAAATTATTATTTTTTAAAATTATTTGGCTATATTCGCACCACTAACTGATCATTAAATTATTAGCTTATGTGCCTCCCACTGCAACTACATATTTCATAGTGTGAATACGACCGTTCCACTACTAGCTTGATTAAAAGTTAATATTGTTTTTATCTTGGATCTACCTATCACAGAACCAAATCATTAAGTTAACATTAAATTTTGATATGAAGAACGATTGATTTTGCCGACTTGACCTTTCTAGCTTTATAGACGTTAGATTACTATTAAGCACCTCTGTACAAAAAATCTGCTAAATCAGTTCCTTACCTTATATTGAAAACAGCAAAGTTCATTTTATTTCCACTTCACTCCTCCACTTTCATATTCATATTATAGTATCAATATCATCACTTTAAAACTACATATAAAATGGAGTGCTTGAAATAAATACTGTCATCTTTGTGTATTTTTAAATATTTATCTATCAGCCTTTATTAATAAGAGAAACAAAAGACAAATACTTTCTTCTTAGTTTATAATATAAACACAAATACAATAGAAATAAATTAACTTTATTACTATAGTAAGGCAAATAAATAGTGACTAAAATTAGATGTACTCTATAATTTTCAAAAAATATAAAATTACTGTACTTTTGAAATGACTTTAATAAATTAATTGGGTTATAGAAACGAGGAGATTTATTAAACATTTCTTTCATTCTAAACTTTAAATAACATTTTATATAATTACTCGTTCTTCCATCGTCATATTCAGATTTTATTACATGCATAATTGTAGTCATACATTTTGTGGTCAGTAAATTTTACTAATAATAAAATATATTACATTCTCAGAAATAATCAATAAATTACAGGTCAACACTAATAAAACTTCCATTCCTATTATACTGGACAAGTGGAAAATTTAACTGGCCCTTTGATCAGACAACAAGTTGCTGAGCAAACTCATTGCTGCGACAAGAATTTTATATAATCTAGATCAAATAACTTCTAGGTATTAATTTTCATATTTTTTATTTAAATTGTAACCTACCTGTCATATTTTTACATACTGAAATCTTTACTTCTTATAAATCTAAGATGTATGACTTATGAGTTTCACTTTCCACTTAAGGCCATGGATTTAATAAATGCAATGAGAATAATACCTTTTCAAAATCATTCAATGTTTAATAATAATTAAATGTTGTGTTGAAATCAGTTTAACCTAGGTAACAAAACCCTATGGATATTACAAGTAAAGCCAGGCTAAAAATTATCTTCGGTGTAAACATGTTAGTGAATTTTAAACATTAATTACTCATAAAATCCTCCATACAGTTGGTAACAAAACACTTTGGAAACAAAGCAATTAGTTTGGATATTCTGTATACCTATAAAAAAATTAAACATTTATCATAAATTCTACAATAATTAGAAGGAACAATAATAAATATTTAACAATAATAACCATTGAATTCTAAGAATGAAGGTCACCTAGTTTCCGACAATGCGATAATTGTATGTTGCTGCCTTGTTTTAATGGCGATGGTTTTATGATATATATTTTTATAAACATTTATTTATGTAACATAAACAATATTATATTAATGTTGTGACAGCTTCTCGAATGATAAAAATTAGAAAAAATTAAAGTTAGCTTAGTTTAAACAGAACGATGTTTTATTTGCATTTGTAAATCTATTAAGATTTGTGGAAAAATTCCATGATCAACTTCATAGTGATTAAAAGATTAGTTCCACAAAACAAAAACATCCATATACTGGTTCATGACAGATATCCAATTTCTTAGAAATCTGTAGTAGGATTGAAGCATTGTGTATGTGTAAATTTATTGATTAATCTTAATTATTAAGAAGAAGCATAATGAGATTTAAATATACCATAAGTTTTACTTGTTCAAAATAATTCATTCTATGGAATATAATTTTTGTAATAATTGTACTTCTTTTAGATATTGCAATTTTGTTTTGAGACAGATTTTAACATACTACTTTTCGTTGAATATCAAACTACTCATTCTAGTTTTATTATAGTATTTAGTTATTTTTTATCACAATTTTTTTGATAAATAAAGATATGTGTTATAACGGTCAAAAGGTTATCTGTTACAATACATACTTATTAAATGAAACCATTACCGATTGAAATATTGTACACGACAAACGATGTCTAAGTTTACAGTGAGTATATAAAAGATTTAAAAATAGATACATAGATTGTTTTAGATATATATGTTCTTTATATAAATATTTTGACAGATCCTCATTGTGTTTTTGGCCGTGTTTGCCATTGTTGCCTCTCGTCCTCAAGGCGGTAAGTAGAATTATCTCGCAGAGCAATAATCTTGTGCATAGCATATTTATTTATTTCATTCGTAATTTTATAACAATTTAGGCAGAGAGAGGAGCTTGGACGGTCGAGGAGAGCGTTTAACGCGCTTTAGATAAGTACCTTTTCCTAAAGCCCTATAGCTAGGTCGGAAGTCCCAGGCAATGTTAAAGCTCCTCTGCCTGCAACGTGATAATTCCGACTCCCGCACGGTGAATCAATGGAATGCTGAGAAGTTTTTGTCTTTAAATTATATGTTTCTTTTATCCCATATAACCTTACTTATTTCACATCATAGCTGACTTTGATCTTACGAGTGCTTAATTTTATTCATTTAGCTATTTATTCTAAAATAAAGTTTGCAAATAAAATAAGAAATCAATATTCACTTTAGTAAATGCTTAAATTTATTATTTTCAGTGTCAGTCGTCGATAATGGCAGTCAAGGTAGGAGCATATTATCACATCATATTATTTGATTTAGTATTGAAGGAACCTCTCGAAACATTCAAAATTAATATTATATAAAAAAATGTTAAAACTATTTTTAGTTTTTTGGAGGTCATATTTATATATTTGTTAGTTATTGTTAAGATACCTAGTAAATGTAATTCTATTATACGTCTAATATTGACTATTGTCTTTTATGCTGCGTTCTAATAGAATATTCTTAGTAAAATTTTGCATATAGGTATTATGAGCAAGTGCTAAGTTTCTTACAAATATTTTTAATATTGCATGACCAGCAGCTTTAATCCGAAATATGTATGTACAGTATTTAATCTGACTGCAATCTTTACATTTGTTTCAATTTTAGTGAACGTCGTGGATTCGGATCCGGATAGTCAAGGTAATTATAATGTGATAACAAAAGTTATTAAAGGCAATAAAAGAACACTTCTGTGGCTGTATTCTATGAAACATATATTTCACTACCGTTTTCTTATAAGTATTTATATCCAAAAAAATGGTACGTATGCCTTTAAAGTCTGAAGTCGACACGAAAACATAAGTACATACATAGGTATGTACATGACGATGGTTAACAAAGCCTATTTTGTGAAGTCCATAAAAAATCTCAAGCAGGAATGTATTTTCTGTTAGTTTATGAGGATAGCGTTCCTAAAATTTAATATTATACTATTATTTAAAATAAGGCTAATTTGTTATGAAAACTATAGTTATCTACTATTGTCAATTTTACAAATACACAAATGTATTTCATATAAAATAAATATTTAAAATATGTTTTGATAAAGATGAAAATAATAAAGATTTATGGTGTGGTTATTTTTATCATTTGATATAGTTGTATATATATAAATATATACATATACGCATTTAAGGTGATATAGCGCATTTAAGGTTTTATAAATATTAAGACGAAAAATGGAAAATGAATCTGAATATCAATCCATCGAAGTATCAACTAATTGGAATTGTTATTAATGAACCTATACATTTTTATTACAGTCAAAATCAACGATCCAGACAGTGAAGGTTAGAAAAATTATCAATATATGTCAAATTATATACACATCAAATTCCTTATATAGCTCGATATTTTTTATGATTTCAGTGAAAATCGTGGATTCCGGAGATCATGGTAATTATACTAATATTAAGAATAAGTGTCATTTAATTTGTTGTGATAATACGGAACACTAAACTGACAGTACAACATATGGATTATCCTTATAAAAAAATCATAGTTTACTTTAATTATAACATCCAACTGTCATTATTACTATAGAAACGATCAACTGATTATAAGATATTAATATGTTTTCTCATCTATTGTTTCAGTTCATGTGGTAGACTGACAGAGTTACGGGCACGATGCAGTGTTAAATAATATTAATGTAAGTATAAATATGTATTGATTTCCTAATCTACATTTAGCACCGCTGAACCTCTGACTTGAACAAAAACATTGAATCTGATAATAAATTAAGATTTTCTTTAATAAATACAATTGATGAAATAAAATGAAATTCATACCTAGTTTTCTGCTAAAATAGACTTAAATACTCGTAGTATTGCTAGCCGCGTATTCCTGCATTCAGCAAGTAAGTACAGATATTTTGAATTAATACTAAATTCACAAATAATTTTTTCGAAAGTAAATTAAAAATATATTTGAAGTGATTTCAAAGAAAATCTCTTAAATTTATTTTTTGTAAAATTAAGTATTAATCAAATGAACTTATGTCCCTTAACGTAAAAGAGTATTTGTAACATCATGGTTGAAACGACTATAAACTAATAAGTTGTTTCACTTATTTAAACTTAAGAAATCAATCAATTTCGAAAAAAATCCAATATGTTTTATATATAAGTAAATAGAAAATACAATTTCAATTTAATTTTAATTTATAATTATTTTGTTGCAGGATACAACTCTAAAATCGCCCTTGTACTAAAGAAATTACTTTAATATTTAAGAATATAAAATTTTGTTGCATAAGTGACTTTTATTTATAAGTCCGACAATTGAGTGACCTTAAAAATATTAGGTGAATGGGTCGAGCAGGCAGCATCCCGGAGACTGTTTGATTAGTGACCACTTAGAGTTGCTGACTATTATAGTTGATTAAATTGATATTAAAGAAAGACGGTAAAACATTTCTTAGTACTTTCTTATTCTTAAAATCAATATGTTATATACCTGCACTTAAAAAAATATGTTATAGTTTATTTAATATCATAAAGACTCGACTAGAGTTGTAATGTTGACTGTTATATATCAATTATAAAAATGAATAATACCTACTTAAATATAAGGCGTAAACCATTAATGGGCCAAAAGTATTTATTATGTAAGGCTTTATTTTTGCTCACCATTCGATGTCTTTAATGTACATATATTATATATAATTTCATAAAACTACTTTAAAAAACTAATTTAATTCATAATATTTTAGTCTATTGTTTTCAAAAAGCTTTTATAAAAAGGACTTAGTAATATTTCTTAGAATTCGTATTGCGAAATTGTAGAACAACGACAAAAACAACAATAACATTAACATCAATATCAACAACATATAAAAATGTATGTGTTCTAAGTCAGAAAATCTAAGCTTCCACTATCAGAGAAAATCTTTTGCTGATTATAGGAATCATCAGATATTCGGTTTCTTTATTCTTAAGAATGAATGAATTTAATGGTTCACTAGATTTTGTTTTAGGCCAGGACTTAAAAAAATAAAGGCCTGTTATAACTTTTTAAATGAGGTATAAGTATTCGATTTTACAGAACCTATTGTGAGCCATGATCACTTAGTTATATATAGCTACTAAAAAAGTGAGAGCTTTACTTGTTGATACAAAATTTCTTATTTTAATTTCTTTAATGGACTCCTCTAAATTTATTCTTTGTAAATCATGTTTTATATTAAAAAGTTATGTATAGTATAGATAATATTTGAAAATATTTTACTATATGTAGTACATATTTCATTTAATATTTTTATCAATCATGTTTGTTTGTAACATTGCTCCAATTTTTTAGAAGGAACTCATATTTGAAAAAGAACCTTTTGTTATATAATTTTTTATGACTTGAAATACACTGTATTGATTTTATATGAAAAAATACTTAAATTGCAAATTTAAATCTCCATAAGATAACAAATACTTAGACTTTTTTACTTAACATAATTTAAATTTTCAATAAACTTCGCCCACTAATTCTGGCTAATTGACATCCCACACAATGTAATTGATGCACATCTGTTTATATATATTTATTAAGAAGATGTGTCTTTTGAACCCATTTCTTACTAGTTATTATGATGTGTCAGAAGCGAAGAAAAGTTAAAATAATATGCCAGTTTTATAATACTGTTTCGTAATTATAAAACTAATGAGTTATTTATGCAATGGTCTCATCTCTGCTATTAAAAAATATTATAGGTATCTACTAACTATAGTAGACATAATAACACTGAATAAACAAACTTGAAAACCTAAAAATTCATAGATTAAAGGTAAAGCGACGTAGTTTACTTATATTTATATTATTGCCAGTTTAAAAAATACCTATATTATTGAATTGTATTTATGTTATAATAAATATAGTCTATAACCCAGATTAATAAATCCATTTATTACCAACATAGCGTAACAATTGAGTGGTTGCGGTTGACGACAATGAACAATACAATATCGACATAACGTGGTTGTATATTTCTACCAAAGGTAATAAACATTTGATCATAAATTCCTATAATTGTAAGTGTTATTTAGACATATACCTATTGCAATATTAAATAGTTTTATTGAGATATTTACGTAAAAATATATATAATAAAATAGACATCAACATCGTAATGGAATATTCAATAACAAGTAATAAATAAAATTAATAAGGAAAAACTCAAGAACAGTCAACTAAAGGCAGTCAATAACTTTCCTCAGAGCGAGGTATATGTGTTGGAGATACTATCGTAACTATAAAAATTACGAAGAATATACGAAATATAACACAGAGCAGATGGGTCTGCTAATCAATCCAATGACATCACACATTAAAAGAATTACTACAAGCTTTAATTGAGTACGACGACTGCGAACCGAACGTCAGCGACAGTTCCAATCTCGATTGCAGCACTCGTGTCACTAAAACGTCCCAGATTGTAACAAACGTTTGAAAACAGAATGACAACCTACATCGTTGGATTTATATGCGCATTAGTATTGGTGAGATTTATATCAGTTTAAACGGTTTTTAAGTCTATAACTCGTTAAATAGTTACTAGACTTTAAGGACCTACAAATAATAAACAAAATATTGATTCTGTTTACAGGCTCTTGTACTGGTTGTGTGGATAACGTACTGCATGTTTTGCAAGGAGAAACACAAGTCGGAGATTTATCAGTATAACATATCAGATTTGCGACGCAATAATTATGAAATTGCGCAAGATCACGAGGAAAAGAAATGCAAAGAAGTAACAGCTGGTATATTTATTCTTCCGTCTCGACACAAAGAAAAAGATGACAGCTATATAAAAAGGCCAGATTATCCGGAGGGACCAGTTTCAAATCTACAGCCGAGGACTGAACAATTGATAGATATTATCAATGACAGTCCATCTGACAATGAGGATCGAAGGTGTGTCAATTTCAATATAGAGTCAAACGCTCAAGGCCAAAGTGACGTATGAAATTGTTATGCAATCACTATTATATAGACACAGTACACCGATTATACCTGTATTACCACATAGCTTGCACCGCTATTGTTGATTTTTATATTTATTTTTTTAATAAAGATTTTTATGACCTTATATTGTTTTTTTTTGCTTGTTATATTTCTAATGGAGAATATATTTTTAAAAATTTTCTTCAATATCATAATGGTGTCTTCATTACGATGTAAAAATATTAAAAAATCATTAAGTATAAATAAAAAGCCATTAAGGTGAAGTAATTACTATACCTAATTGTTATTTTTAAATATTAGGTAATTATTTGCTATTTATACCTCGTGTAAAAGTATTTGTATATTTCCTAAACATATATACTTTTTCATATAATTCTTCGATTATAGTAATGTATATGTTTGTTAATCTTTAAGACAATTAAATCGATTGTCCACATATTGACCAATTTAGCCAGACACTGTGCTCATTTCTTGTACACGAGAATATTAAAATATAATTTTATTTCACACAAAACTAGTATAAAGTAATATAAAATAATTTACGAACAATCGAAATAAAATACATAGTGTTTGTTCATATTACCTGTATTTATATAAGACCCTAGCAGGAGTTAATGCGTACTAGTATGGTCGCATGTTAAACTGGTTACTGCACAGTTCGTTGTCACCTTGACACTTTCGTCATGTCGGCCATTTTGTTGAGAATACTTTTCTCAGTGGGATGTGCTAAGTCGTAGACAGCTTCACCAGCGCTTGTCAGTAGTCTTGCACCTTCATTCCATGTATTCTTCAACATATCCAAAACATCACGTTTATCACGTGCTTCAGATTCCAGTGGAATTGCCGTCACTAATACTGTTAAACACTGCAAATAAAATCAATTCAAGCAAGTACACACGGTCTAATTTACAATATCTTCTGTTTTGTATGAGAAAAGTCTTGTATTTTAAGAAGAACTTCTTTTCTTTTAAAATTTAACTTTTTCATTTGGTGCGACTACAATTTTTAAAATTAACACATTTATTTCATTAACAGGGCCCCGTATTAGAAAATCTTAAAGATATTTATCGAAATATCTTTGAGAGTTTCCAATACATATAAATATATATACATCTGTAAAGCAATTGTTGATATACACTTGTAGTGATGTATTATAATCATTGAACATAAAACATAGTACATAGTAGTATGGAATCTGGACAATAGAAACTGTTATTAAAATACTCAAAAGCAAAGTTTGTAGTTTCTACTAGAAGGTTTTTGTAAAATCTTTACAATACCTCCTTTTTATTTTTATGTCACAAAATATGGTATCGTAAACATGTGTACTTATGTTATATAATTTTCTGTAAACCTTGCACGGTACACCTCCAAGAGATATGGTATATAATTATTTAATATGATACCTAAGAAAAAACTGTTTCTCGTAAACTATGAAGGTAAGGTATTCAATTACCTAATTACCTAATATAATAATTCTATCATAAATGAATAAATTATTGCAGTACATATACTATTGTTGCTATAATTCTTAAGAAGAGGACAATATATTCCTATATATAATAATATAGGTATAGGAATGAAAACTAAGGGAATATAAAAATCTAACAATAAAAAAAATTTCAAATGTTACAACTCTAATCATTTGGATGCAAAAAATTACAAAGATTTGTAACATCGGATTACACTTACAATGCATAATAACAGCGCAACTCGAAAATCCATATTTCCTTTGTTCCTGAATAAACCGATGTCAATTGTTTAGGTGTTGAAGCTGACGGTTGAGAACTTGTTGTCCCACTGGACATGAGAAATCGACAGGAAGCCTTGAATTTGCTTTGTTCAAATACCTTTTATGGACGTGCAGACAAAATGACAAAGGATAATAAGCTAAAACTCACAGGGCTGTCAGTCGAAATATAATACAATAATCACATTTTTACCAATTTGTTATTCTCAATAACCAACCATAATCACCAATGTTTTGTGTTTATTGAATTAAATAAGTCTGGTTCCATAACAGTTGCTGGGGCTGTTAAAACAGTGTTTTTTATTCAATGCTTAGAATGGAATCTTTTACATCATCTTTAAAAACTTGCCTTCACTCAAAAACTGTAAAAGTAATTATTATCAGAAAATTATTTTTTTTAACCAGAGGAAAGGCAAAAGGCATCATTCCAGACAGGCCAACTTGAATAACAGGTTTTCATAGTCATCCTGCTTGTTGTACTTTCTCTTCATTTCTTTCGTAACTTCTATGACGTGCTATTTGATATAATGACATTATAATACAACTTCAATTGTGTGTCTCTACCACCATTTCTACGAAAACGTCATTGTGGTTTATCTAATTCAAATTACGATACAATTTTTAAAACCCAAATAAGCTAAATTATTCCTAAGAGATAACTATCTGTATCTAATCAAGTAATAATGTGACTTATAAAGTCAGTTTATGTTATGATAATCCACAAACTTACTAAAACACGTTAAATTTTGGAAAGAAAATATTCAAATCGATGACGAAATTTAAGAAATCTAAAACAGCGTTATGCAACCATTTTTTATTATGTCACTGTGGTCGCTGATAATTCTTGTCAATAAAGTCTAAAATAGAAGGAAATATAACCTCCTTTTTCTATTAATACCTTTGATGGGTCATATTACATTGTTGCCTAGAGATCAAGAATACCCTTCGATAGTACAGGGTCCGACCAAGATCCATTTACAACCACAATTAGTCTCCACTCAGAAAGTAAGTTTTCTTACTATTGTCGTGTTTCCTAAAGCATATTTACATAAAAACATTAAGATATTTAACTCACATACTTTACTTTTGAAAAAATATAATAAATTTGTTTTAACTTTTGATATCCTTGATATTTAAATAAGGCAATGGTTCTACACCGGAGATGACGAGTTTGATTTAAGTCGTGTGACCAATAGCGATACAATTATTCAATTTTATATGACGCATAGGTATACTAACATAAAACAGAAAAATAAAACTAAATAAATACATATATTGTATACCGCTATATGTCTAGTAGGATTCCTACGAAACTAACTTTTGTATAATCTATAAATACCTATAAAACTGTTAAAGTACAATCAGTTGCAGTAAAAACAAAACTTAACATCGAAACACTTTAGACACGTTTATGAGTTTCATATCTAATATACCTTTATCATTATTATGAAATACCACTTTTTATATTCAAATAATAACAAAAAAGCTTGATAAAAGTTAAAAATTCTAGTTTGTACTTTAAAATTAATAATGAATATTTTTATTACTCAGGGTGCATGGAAACTCTCGTTCCATCAATTTTCATTTCATTTTAAATAGCTTTAATTTTGGAAAGCTTGAATATAAAAGTAATATTAATTAATATGAATGATATCATCAAAACTGTGGGCAGACAAAATATTTGTAGATATAATATAACTTGGTTTAAAGCCATAGCCGTCGACATGTCAAGTGAGGAATTTATTGAAGCAATCGATCTCCTAGTTGAAAGCAAATTGCTTAAGGTGTCACCTACTTTTTATGACCAATAGTTTTTCCTCCTCAGAATCAAGATATTAAGAGCGTTAGAGCGTTGCTGTGAGGATATTAGTTTGTTTTATTCTCTCAATTCAAATATAACATCCACCATAAGTTGTCCTTGTTTGTGTAATTATTTCAGTATATTCTTTCTTAACCAGAACTTTATTTGTGGTTCTTGGGATAGTAATATCGAAAATTCTTTGTATTGATGGTTTTTTTTTCTCATGACCGTAAATATTAAATTTACCTTAATTTCTCTTAATATTTTAATTTATATCTAATACAAAACTTTCATTAAACAAAAGTTTTTTTTTTTTTGACAAAACAGATGCTGAACATAAGACTGGTCTTTTTTAAATTTTACAACCAAAAATAAATTTGAAAATGTTCATACCATAAACGATAAAAATATATGCATTTCAGGATTATTTTTTACTCACCTATCTATTTGTTGATCTTTATTCTCAAAAAGTGTTAAGTTGGAGGAATTTCCCTTCTTTTTATTTATTGGCAAGTGCAATCAAAAACAATCAGGAATAATAACAAAAATTAATGTATCATTTGTAAGTATTACTTACATATGTACTTGAATCAACTAATGGTAACTTACGAAAAATATCTTTTCATAAGAGAAAAGTTCGGTTTTTATGAATAATTTGAGTTAACCTCATAGTAATTGAGAAATCATATAACACATATTTTGTCTGAACTAGAAACCTTATTAAGGAGATCGGTATAAATATACATACATATGTATAGTAGGTAATAGTTATTTATGTAATGTTCATTTAAAAAAACCATTTAAAAATTAAACAGCATCAAATTTATTTAATTGTCTGAAATATTAACATATTAATTATTTCTTAATAATGTTTCTGATTTCGATTTATCTCTATGTTTCCGTTATTAGTGTTTTCATTTGATGCAAGCAAGTAAACTTCCCCGCTGGCTATGATTTGATTGTCACTGATCTCAGCAAAAGCAGGAGCAGGTGACGTATTAATAATGCTGATGCATAAAACAACGAAAATGCATACCGCAATTGTCTGAAACAATAGAAAACCATATGTTTGTATACTTTATTTTCTTATTACCTTAAATTTTATAAAAATTCGGTGTATGAACCCCATATTATTGAAGATCTAAAAATTTCAAGTGAAGTATAATCTTTTAAGGTCTCTAAAATCATTGAAGCCTGTATTACTTGCTAAACAGTTAACAATAAACATGTTTCTGTCAAAATACTCGAAATCCTTTCATTGGATATTAATTTTATTATAATTATTTTACTTCTATTAAAATATTAAACGCTTACCTTAGCTGCCATGGTATAGAACTTATGAGTTAATTCAACACTCGATGTGTAGCACACTCCAATATATACAGAATATTATCGTAAAATGTAAATTTATGTGGTGCTAATCATATAACATAAAATGCAATGAAATATAAATTGTATAAATTAATTATAACTATGTAAGTGACCCACTTAGTTAAAAACAAAAAAAAAATTCAAGTGTCGTCTTTGTATTTTATGAAATGTATGAATAATAATATTCCTAAAAATATTTCACAAACAAACAGTATACACATAGAGTTTTCTATATGGTTAAGAAAAACCTCTTTACATAAAAAAAATATTCAAATAGACTATTTAAAATATTATTTAATATTAATCAAGATTAAATTGTAACAAATACTATATTTTTGATTGGACCACTTTGAGTAAACTCTATTACGAAATTTCACTAGTAAAGTTAATTTAAATTATAAGCAAATTTATGTGCAAGTTTTTTCTTGTGAAAAACGAAGTCTAAGTTATTAAATAAAAATGGTTTAAATAATTGCCCGAAATACAGACATAATTTTACAAATTCTGTTATGAATTTTTGCAACTTGAAATAAATTTCTGCACTCGTATAAATCTTAAATACAATTTTGTCAAATTAGAGAGTGGAAAGTTTAAATCTTTACACCATGATTATTACTGGAACCCTAAACCCAAATGAAGTAATTTAAGGCAATATTAGTTCAAAATTATACGTTAATCAAGTCTGGGACCGTAGCACTCCTGTCCGTGAGAAGTAAATTAAATTTTATTTGATGTTTTATGCAAAGCTACGGAAGTGGACCATTTCAAAAATTTACTCATTTCATAGTGAAAGCGGCTGTTCTATTTTTATTACTTTAATACTTGGTATAAAACTTAACTGCAAGTTAAGACTGTTTTCAATATGATCTATAGCAGTATATCGGCAGATATTTTTGAGTAAAAACTTCAGTACTATTTCTAAATACGATAATTAACATCTTTCAGCTTCAAGTAGAAATAAGACACATTTTATTTGAGTTCTATAATATTATTTCCGAAATGAAATATTCTCATGATATATGAACAGACAATCTCTTAGTATCGAGTTCTTAAACTGCAAGTCATACGTTCGACGTTACTAAGTAGATTATAATAATAATTTATTGCATATTAAAACAACTCATAACAAAGTCATTGACTTCCGACATAGTATAGTAGATATTAAACTTAAATAAAACAGTTTTATACCATACGTATTACCTTTTACCAAATCTATATCTACTGCATATACTTAAATTTATTAAACCGATGCAATGGCAAATAAATGGACTTAAAAAATTCCAAAGTAGCTTAATATATACATACGTATGTCTGCCTTCTGTTAGATAAATAAATATCAGTATTTCAATAGAATTTCTGATGATTATTCAAAAAATCTTGATAAAGAATTATAATAGTTTTTCAATTCGATAACCAGCACAAAAAACATTTCTTATCCGACAACGTGTATTGACTTTCCGTGCAAAAACACATAAAAAAGATGGTGATGAACAAGAAAACACTCGAAAAAATATATATAGTACACAATTACTTTTATGACTCAAGTCAAATAAAAAAATAAAATCCTATGAAAATATACATTTTTGACTTTCAAAACTAAATATTAACTGCTGCAATTTTTTTAAAGATTTTGTTAAAGCAACATTTTTCATTTATCTACAGTCCCTAAAAACAATCTATATCAGGATTCCCATTCATATCTAAGATTGAAAAAACAAAACATATTTTACTTTTTTATTTTACTGTTCACTTTCTTATGGATTTAAATTAAACTTCTGTTTTATTAGCCTACAAATAAACTTAGAAAATTTCATAACCTTTTAATTCAAAAAGTTTTTTTAGATACAGGTTGAATAAAGATGCATAGAATACAATAATAGTATAATATATTTAAACGTATAAAAGCAAATGACAGAAAGGGATATATTTTACATCTTCACTTAAGTTAAAGCATTTCTTCATAATATACAACTACAACATTAGTCGTATTCATTAATAGTTATTTTTCCATTGTTAATATCTTTATTCTTTGTAACTATAGTGACATCCCCGTCAGATATAATTTGATTGTTCGCTGCTATTGCACCAGGAACTGGGTTGCAATCAATACCACTGGTGCATAGTAAGAAGAAGACACAAAATAGAATTGCCTGAAAAAGAATAGAAAACAACTGTTTAAAAATTTATATTTCTTCATCTTTTTAAATCGTGAATGTGTATGGCCCGGTGAAGACTTAAGGAGGACTAAAATTATTTATCTCTTAGTGTTTTAAAAAGATTGTTATAAAATGTACTGCCGTGGTAGTGAAAAATGTTATAAAATGGTTAGAAAGTTATTTTTAAGTTTTTTATGAATGATAGTGAATAATTGACTAAACATAATACACAAAATTTGGTTTAAAAATTCCCTCATAGACAAGTATATTTAATATTATTTTTACTAATGTTACTAATAAGGCTTACAACGCAGGCACAAAAATGCTTAAAACTTTTATCTTTAATAAACTTATAAAGTAATAAATATATTCATTTTAATTCAAATTCCAATGAGCAATATTGCTTACCTTGGCTCTCATTGTGGAACAGTTGCAGTACTGTAAATTCAGACATAATTTTGCTATATATAGTTAAATTTTATCAAAAAATTTCAGTATATACTCGTTATACCAATAAATTAAAATTTAATTAACATCATTATTACAATGTGTTTTTGATGCTCTATCTCCAAATTGCACCTTTTGTGAATATATTTTTCATATAATTTTAAAATTTATTTTTATGTTCATTATTTCAATTTTTTCTTTATCATATTAAATAATATTATTTATATTGTAATATGTAGTATTCCAAAATGAGACTACATTTACCATAAAATGTGACTGTATTTATCATAAAAATATTTATTTAAAAATCTGTTAAATCTGGCTTACATACTTCTTACAATTGAACTTCATTTTTTAACTCGGTTTTATCAACTTCATAAGCTTGTGAAAATTATAATTATTTAAATCATCAAACAGATATTTAAATAAAATTTTACTCTTTTATAAATTTAAGGTTTAATACTTTCCATACTGATGTTTATGAAATCAACACTAACATTATTGGAATCCATATCTAATACATTATTTCCTAATATACATATATTTCATATGAATTGGTCTTAAATACTTATGGCTAAATTCTTATCATACTAGATATTGAAATAATGAAAAGTCTATATTTTAGTTTTAGTTACTAATTATATAATTTAGATGTGAGTCTGTTCAAAAAAATAAATATATAAAATAAAAATGTATAGATCGTAAGTCATATACAAGTTATTAGATTAGCTTAATTATGTCAGTACGATAGTTTAAAAAAGAAAGTAAGTAAGATAGAGACTTAATTGAACTCAAAAGCCTCGATGAAATTTGCTTAATAAATATATAGTCAAATTTAATGTTCATTTAAATACTTAGGTAATACACATACTTATCAAATAAATTTATGTAGCAAATGGAATATAAGCAAGAATAAGAAAAATACTTTTATCAGAAATGTGTATAATTTAGCAGCTAACCAAAGTTAAGCTATTTTTTTCCTCTGACCCAAGGGGAGTGTTGGCTGTGGTAACTCAAACTGCTCACTGCAAACATCTTCGACGTGACGCCCAACAGCGAAACCCTTCTGTCAACGCCACTCCATATATTCCTCGCATATTGGCAGTAAAGGATAGCCTCTTCTTTGACGAACTTGTGCATTTTATTTTATGCACTTGGTATTTTCTGGAGTAGCCATAGCACAATAGTACTTGCACAAGTTGGAACGTTAGGGTCCTGTGACTCCTGTATATCGAACGTTAAAGGTGCGGAACAACCCCACTCATGTTAAACAGACCGGTTGGAAGATCCAGGCAACCTTAGAAGCTTAGACCCTCTCATGAGCCTCTACCCGGTGCCAGCATACTATTGCGAATATCTCAGCCTGGAGTTCCCAGATGGGTCATTGTCAGCAGCGATACCACATTGGCCGATACTTCTAACGGAAACTAGCTTCAAGACCATCGAGGTAGAATGGCCTTTTTTCCTGCATAGTAAAACCAAACTTCATCTGTGATACCCAAACTTTAGCCTACTCAAGGAAAAGTTTAGTATCGACTGATAGTTTCGATGAGTCCTGCGACAAATAAATATTTAAAAGAATTCATAGGCGTCATAGCAACTAAAAAATCCATTACACGGCGTATAAACTGATAAGAAAAGTTCATTTGTGTGACAATAGAACCGAAAATAATTAGATTTATCTTTATTTAAACCCCGTAATCTCCTACCTCATCAAACAATGAATGTTTACACAAAGCATTTGATAAATCCCAGGAAGTACATAAAGACACGAGAATGAAGTTATACCTTAGATACAATAATTCACACAATTCAGAATGTTTTTCTAATTTAATGACGATTGTTAAAGTATGTTTCAAAAACTGATTTTTTGTTATTACTATCATATTGAGAGTTTTAATTTATTTCAAACGGTTTAAAATCAGAAAATTAAATAAAAGGTCTTAGGTATTGAACGTGTTAAGTAATAAAATCACAAATAAATATACTCAAAAGAAAGTACATCCCAAAATAGATTATTGTAACTAGCTAGGATCCCATCTGTATAACATGTTAATAAAAGTATAATAACTTTAAATTAAAATTAAAAACCCTTTAGTAAGTTTAGTAATATTTTAAAAATTATACACAATTTGACTAAAAATATTATATTTCAACGAAGAAGCACATAACTTTCAAATACAATCAATCTTGTGTAGTATTATTATATACATATGTAATAAAAGATGTACAGATTTCTTGTTAATAATACAAAACCCTTTGACTATAATCCATATTTCCATTATTAACATTTTCATTCTTTGCATGTAAAATAACTTCACCACTAGCTATAATTTGGTTATCTTGGTTCGTTGCTAAACCAGGCGCCGGTGCCGAATTTATACTGTTGATGCATAGCAAAATGAAGATGCATAACTTGATTGCCTGAAACAATAAATATCATGCCTTTAATTTTTCCCCTTTTTTTTCTCTTACCTATTATTATACAAAGATTTAGTCACCATAGATTACCTAAATAAGAAACGCTGAATATTATGTGAACTATTTGTGTTTCCCTTGCTCCTCAGATCACAAAAGGTTGAAACGGTTTCGTTTAATATTTGGTTATCTCATTCGAAAGTATGTTCAATTAAAAGAATACAGAGTAAAAATTGGTCATGATTTTAGTTAAAATTCTCCTAATTCAAAAATAAAAGAAGATATATAAAGATTTTTTATTCTAATTTCTAGACTCTTGTTGTTATTTGTAAACTATTATATAAAAATAGATTTATAGTATGTAAAAGACTAACTACACGTGAAGAAACTAATCCAGCGACATTATAATACTACTTTCTACTGGTAGGTTAACTCTTCTGGCCTCTGTTGGCTTCTATAAAACTGAAGGTACTACGAGATTACGTTCTACACACCTCGATGCTTGCTTTAACATAACAATTCTATATTAATCTCAAGAAGGAGTATTTACTACTTTGATTTTTAATCCTAAACCTATTTTATTATTCACAACTCTATATACCCGGCAACTAGAATCCTTAAGACCCCAAAAGATCATGAGCATCGTGATTACTTACTAATATTATTCGACTTTATTGGCTCATCAACTATGAAAACTAGAATTGTAACATCTGGTGCTTACCTTGGCTGCCATAGTGCGATAATTAGGTAGAAATGTTTTATCCTGTTTAAATTCTGCATTATATACAGTATTTTATCGGTAAAATTTTAATACATGGAATAAACATTAATTAGTTGTAATCATGTAAAACGTGTACATTATTTATTCTTATGTATTGCAACCTACTTTCAAGTCCAAACTCTTGAAACACATTTTTAAAACTATCTCTCATCCCTCAATACCATTACTTTGGCTTTGACTTAATTACTTAAAAGTCAAACCTTAAACATTTTTAATATATATACAGATCTCTCCAATTGCTAGAACAGAGATGGATATTATAGCCTTTTCTATTTTTTTCATAATTTTTATGAAAGACACTTCGTTTTGATATGCATATTAATTTAAATTATACTTAATTTGTAATCTCAAAAATTACATACAAACAAGACAAAATTTCAAGGAACAATATATAATATGAGTCACATGTATTACTTCATAAAATGATATTGATCTTATCGTAGAAAATTGTAAAGAATGCGTAATATGAAATAAAAGTCCAACTGTAACTTTGTCAAGTTAAACGAGAGTTAAAACGTCAATCAAAATCGTTATTTTATAACATGAAAGTAGCACATTGGCAAAAGAATAATTCTGAGATTAAACAAAAATTAATTGTAACAACATTAGGCATGCAAAAGTGGCTTTCTATTTCTCACTTTTATTAGACTTTCCTAAGGAATCAATGTTAGTAAAGTTTATGTTATAGGTATTGTCTTGGAGAGGAAAATTGATATTTTAAATTCCATAACAAAATGAGAATTTTATTTAAAAAATACTTTCTATCTAACAGTTAATGTTGCTCAGTTTATGCAATCTATTTGAAGGATTTGAAAAACTAAGGTTTTTTTTCAGTATTGCAAAGGTATTCAATAGATTTTTCTCCATTTATTAACACTCGGTCAGTAACAAATTTATTCCATAAATATAGATGGTTGCCACTTAAGGAATTCGAAGAATTCCTTCAGCGCAAGGAAAGTTATGCTAACTGAGTGGTTGCAATAACATAGCTGATAATATATTCCTTAAACATATAAAAGAAGCTTAGTACTAGATCCTTATATACTTTTTATTACTCTAACACACGATTTTCTTATTTGTAAGGAGGACCAATAAGGTTTTGCAAAGATTGCTAGGAGTTCAAATATACTCTTCATCTTATTCATCCAGTTGCACATATACAATATGTAAGCTTGTGTTTGATAGTAGAAAAGTCCTAAACTGGATAATCTGCTACCTGATTTTCAAAAAATCAATATAATCTGTGAATGGTTTGCTGTCATTATTTCAAGCAATATTGTAGTTTTTATTATCTACTTTTGTTTAATATTTTACACGAACACGGTTAATAAATTAAATTTGAACATGGTTAATATTTATACGAATTATAAAATATAAAACTTATAGAAAATCATTACAATTAAAAAAGCAACCTAAAATTCAAAGGATCAATATTTGCTAGAAAAAAACTTTAAAATTCTCATTAGATTTCCAAAAGAAAGTATATGTACGGGATTTATAAATACTTTAGTGTATTCAAAAAGATACAGGGGTAATAAAATTGTATTTAAATTAACAATTCGAGATATAGTAACAAGAAGTTATATCTTTGTATATTATTATTAACAATAATCCACTTGCTTATTACATGTTAATTCACATTATTCATATCTTTATTAATTGTAGCTATTTTATGTCACTACTGGATATAACTTAATTATCTCTGCTACTTGCGAAATCAAAAGCCAATGAGGTCACAATACCTCCAGTCACAAGTGGCAAAAGGAAGGTAATTATGATAATCACCTGCATGAATAGTTTTTAATAAGATTTATATTGTTTAAATTTTATTTAAAAAAACCGACAATCAAACTAAAAAAATAGTTAAAGTAAGATAATAGACTCTTACTTTACATGAAATAAAGAAAGATAGAAGAATTTTTTTTTACGAAACATGTATGCTTTAAAAATTGCTTTAACTCAGCCCCCCAACAACACGAAGCTTGTTTGCCAATAGAGGATATAAAATACATACCTTTTGGAAATATATTGTTAAATGTCTATACAGAAATTTGACAAAATTATATATTTCAAGAAACCGTGTTTCATATTTGTGATAATGATATTATTGTAATTTTAAGTTAAATACTAAATTGATATACAAATTTAATAAAAAAAATCTAAATGTATATGTATATGATATATTAAATATTAAAAAATAACAAAAATGTTAACAGAATTCGTGGTCATTTTTCTTAATATTTTAAACAAAATTTATTTACTTCATAAGAAATACAATATATTAAAAAAAATCTGAATATTTAAAAAACAAATTAATCCAATTTCAAAATTAATAATTACCACAAGAATAAATTCTTGTGAAAACCCAACAATCCCTTAATTTTGGTTTTGGGAAGACTTGTCATATCTTAGATTTAAATAAAACAAATGTATAATTACGTAATATACAATAGCATCAAACAAATTCCAACCTTAGAGAAATTGGTATGTGTATAGCTGCTTGTTTATATCCAAACAAAACTCAATATCCGATAACCTTATTTTTGCAAAAATTGATTGCAAAATGCATTTAAATGTACTGATGCTATAAGGATATCAGAGTCATTGACTTCGAAATGCATTTGGTGATGAGCATCCTGCAGATAACAAATTTTTAAACAAGACTAACCTAAAAATGTATGTATTTTCAAACAATTTTATAAAAAAATGCATGATATTTACGAAGTTATTGATGAAATAGATAAATTTACAGTTTATTTCTTTGTAACCACGGCTATTATAGAACCAAATAATTTCAAAGTATTTTTGATCGATACTCAATGACGAGCTGTATAATGTTATATTAGAATAATATAGACAAATATTTAACTCGTGAATACGGTGAGATGTCTATGAAATAAAACTGGTTTGCTTTAAAATTTTCATACTATTATACAGGTAACTTTCCTAGCACATTATTCTAAATATTTCACTATCTAGTATAAACAAAATGTTTATCAAGTATGTATATGCCTTAAATTAAAAATCGTTTAAACAAGAAACCACGAAAATATGGAGACAATATGCATTTAAAATTAATAACTAAAATATTTATTTTTAATACAAAAAAATTCAACAGTACAGCATTAAGGAAACTAAAAATGTCAGTAAACATTAAATATCCTTAAAATATATCTGATAATAATCTACTGCCAATAAAGACACGGATGCTCTGCGACGTTTTGTGATAATAAAAGGTATATATGCAACAATTTTTATTTCTAAGAAAAATTCATGATACTTCACAAACATGGCATTCCAGGTAAGTAACATACAATAAAAAGGTTGCATATTAAAATCGTGGAATATAGGTAAATACTTATATAACTTCTAATATATGTTAATGATACTCTTGTTTCTTCCTCCAGCGCAAACCAATGGATTGGAATATTTTACTTATGCTTGTGTTTCCTTAAATAGACTTTAATAAGGATAGCGCGTTTACCTTTTTACCTTTTATAGCTTTATTTAAATATATCAATAATTGTGAGATATTTGCATTAAGCCTCATGCAATTAGTAATATAAAAAAAATATAAATATACCTATGAATGTGTCAATGTCATAAGTTTCTATTTTAGGTCATACTCCTGAGATTCTTGTTTCTCGTCTGTCTGATCCATTCTCTTCAATGCAGTGAAGAAGAAGGTGCTTCAACTGAAAGCCAACCTGCAACAACAACAGAAAAATCGGGTTCGGGTTCGGGTAATTCATTACCATTCGGTTCTGTTGCAGACACATTGATAGACCAATTAGAAAAGATCGCGAATAACTTAAACCCGATATATTTCATAAATATGTTCAGAAAAATATTTAATAATTCATAAATATTCATTTGTTGACCTATAAGAACAAAAATAAAATATATATTATACCGCATAAAAACTTTTTAATTTAGAAAAACTCTAAAATAAGTAATTGTACGAAATTTAACAAAAAAAAAACTATTAATTAAATCCCCGAAAGTAATTTAAAATAAACTTACACTGACTACGTACATTTCAATTTTTCTGGCAAAATGTATTCATGCATCTCTTAAGGTGCCATATGCTTTAGCATATGAATGTATTGAGAATTTTTTGCATTTAGTTCATGTAGATTGAAAAAGAAAGAAAAATCATGGCTGAAAAACTTATATTTGAAACTATAAATGAAATAAGTATGTACATATGTATACTACATATTAACATTTACTCTCGAGTTTGTAACATTATTTATTCAAAACTAGTAGACAGATTAGTTAAGATAAGAATTTATTAATACTAAGGCAAAAGCGACAAGTTTCAATTGAGTTTAAAATAGTTAGGATATTATTATTTTTTTAACATTTATCCAACTTTGAGTCACTTAGCTGTTTTCTTAATAAATGTCCTATGGAATCCTATGACGTTGCAGTCTTAATTCCAAGAAGATACTGCATAGCTGATTGACATTTTAGAGTTTCACCTTAGTTCATTGAAGAACCGTGTGTTTTATATAGTTATTATTTATCATTTGTATGGACAGTTGCGCCTACATTCGTACCTATAGCTAATACTATAAATAGAACAACTATATTCATTTGGAATATGTAGCCTACAGCTTTGAAATAGCAAAAAATATTCTTCGTAGTTATTTTTTATAATTTAAAATAACCTTATATTTGTTAAAAAATATTTTTTCTAATTATTAGGTTAATATTAAAATGGTTGGTTTATGTAAACGATAGCATAAATAAGACATCATTTATTTCCTTTCCTGTCATTAAATTTCATAGGTTATTATAAAACCGTCAGAAACATATTAACTAACTCTAAATGAGCTCTTTTTCCTGGAACACAATCCTTTGAAAGCTGAGGTCGATTACCAATAGCTGTATAGCTCTCCTTCAACAAAAATATTCTTTATTGGCAATTGTTGTAGCAGTGATTGTTTTAGAGATTTCAAATTATCATATTATTTAGAACAAACCCAACTCCCCAATAACTCACTATGATTCGACGCATCACAGTTCAAGATAACCATTGATCAGCTTAAGTACATTGAAGTCCAGAAGGTTAGTTTCTAATAAAGATTGGTTAAATCAAGTTTTAAGACCCGGAACCGACTCTTACTAAAAGAACCATTCTTAGCTATTGAACACGCTATTGATACCATTTTTAACAATGGTAGCTTCTTAAACTTCTGGCACTAGACTATACGTGCCGATATTTATAAACTATTTTCAAAAAAAAAATTGGTCGGCCACCCATTCAGACCTAACAAATAGCCAAACCTTTACTGAAGTTGGTAAATGCCTACGTTGTAAGTACTCTTTTGAATAGTTTGGAAACGTCACGACACGAGATAACATTTAGACAAATGGTAAATATCTTCTCCTTTACAATTAAAAACTTTTAGTGACCTCCGTTTACGATCAGCTTAAGAAGTTATTTTGATTTCACCATACTATTCGTATTTTAATTACGATTTGTCCGAAAAAATATGTATATATTGAGGGTTACACGGCTTCACCTCTTTCTATCCGAAATGAGGATTTTTGTATCATAAGGGGTCTCCAATCAAATATATTATCACTTAGAATTTAGACTGCCCAGATAAAATATATGCAATATTAATTAAACTATAAACAAGTAAGTCACAAAGTATATTCTTATTTTTTAAATTTATATTAGCTATTACAATATGATTGCCTGTAAACATTTAATAACCCTTTTTGTAGCTTACAGAATATTTTAAAAATACAAGGTTTATTAGAAAGTTGGTAGAAAGTTTTATCCATATTCTTGACTGTAGTAAATTTCTGTCTAGTTTAGAAATTATAAAGTAAATTTATAATTTTTTATTACACATTTCGTCACTATCTTATTTATACAAAAGCTAGCCTTTCTTCTAATAATATATTCATTTACTTATATATATATTTCTTATTTCCCAATAAATGTATGAATTGAGCAAGTTAATTAAAAATTCAAAACAATAATCAAATATCAAAATAGGTTAGTAAAATTTTTATTTTCAATATCAAAAAAATAAGCATAATTGTCCGTTTTGTTATACGCCATCGATCATACTTATTTCTAATTTTTAGGAGGTTGAAGAAATTTGTTAAAAACATTAAAGAAAGTATTTGGATTCAGAGATCCAATGACTTCCTCAAATTTTTGAAGAGGGTTCTCTATGTTGAGTGGGGACCCGGAGCCAGCTGCATCATCTGCCTCTCTCTTCACTATTGCAGACTGAAGAGAATGGACAAAACAAGCCAGCACCAGAAAGTAGAAGAAAGTTGTCTGCAAAAAATATGAACGTAAATTTATATTGCATATTATTTTGATGATTAACGAGAGTTACAGTACAGCAGAGAATTACATTTGTTTCTTTTAAACTGAAATTTTTTACTTAAATAAATTAATGTCTTTTCTTTCACTTTTTGAAGATCAGAAAGAATAAATATGCTCTAGTTACATTAAATTCGGGCAATTATTAAACTTCATATCTTCAATTTAAAGTCGCATACTGACTGAAGAAATCGTTTATCATTCTTTTAAAAATACAGACCAAAAAATAAATTGTATTTTTTCTATTAACTACTTCATGAGACAATGTGATTCTGATTTAATACCTATAAAAAGGTACACACATTTTGCACAAACTTACTTTGAATGCCATGGTGATATCAGAGGTTGAGCTCAGAAGTGTGCAGAAGACAACATTTTAAGGTTATATATACCATTTTCAAGTAGCTTTAAATTATTCTAATTTGTACATTGTTGAAGTAATTTCCGTTTTTAAAGTATTAACGGAAGCCCTTCACCTTTTCACGATATCTTAAATTCAAAAAGATCACTAAAGGATATATTAGGTATTCTATGGTATCTTTATTTATCAGCAAGTCATATTTAACCTTGTTAATTTTATAGTATTCAAGAAAGAAATACGTCAACAGTTACGAGTTACATTCTTGTATATTTAAGATGTTAACATGAGAAGTACTCCTTCCAATTGTACATTTTTTTAAAAAATACCAGAAAATTGTTATAGAAAAACCAAGATAAGAAAATTCTGAAGATTTCTGAAGACATTTTTGTATTTGTGTTGCAAAAAAACAAAAGACTTGTAAAAAAATAATTTGTTAGTTAATATGACTTCTTATGAATTATGACGTACAGGTAAGTTATCAGTGGAATTATCTCAGAGAGACTGTAAAAAAGCAAACAGTGTTTCTTTTTATTGAAACTATTTACAACAAAAACTCTTTTTGAAACTTTCATCGAACTTACCATCAAAGGCAAATTTTGTATGCATACAAAAATGTTATCTTTTTGTAATTTTTTACACATTGTCATTGACGCAATTTGTGAAATTCTAAAATAATGCAACTTATAGTTTCAAGTTCCTACTAATAAAAACTAAAAAATCTGTAATCAACTACTGATTGTAAGATAGTATCTGTAATCTAATTCTTAGATCTCTTTCAATTAACTGGAGGAGCGTTTAACAATACACAATTGAATAAGTCAGTTTAATTTTAATGCATTCTAAAAATTATAATCTTGTGTTGCGAAGTTAATATATTTAAATATTTTCACTATTCGGGAGAAGTAAACATAATATAAACTCCTGAACTAAACATTTTGATTTTGATATTGAGAAAGGAACAGCATTTGGTATTGAAATAGTAGAATATTGTTGAAACCACTATTATTATTATGTCTCATCTAGCATAATTTCCTCTTACCATTCGATGCATGGTAATTAAGTTGGTACTTAAAAAATAATGATCAATTTGATAATTTTATAATAAATTTCGATTTTTATTATTTAAAAAAAATGTTCAATATAAATCTATAGTTTCATTTTGTTGTTAATATTGTTTATAGACTAACTTCTTCAGCTTACATAATGGCTGATAAATAACTCTAATTGGAAAAATAATATTTTTAATTTTTAAATTTTATTTTATTTACAGAAGTCTACGTGACTGATGTGCTCTACATTATAAGCTGTTTTTTTATCTATGAAGAATATCATTGAAAAGTAAGGTTTTTTTATGTTAATTTAAACTATATTTTATAGAAAACGTGCAAAACGTTACAAAACTTGCAAAATTATATAGCAATTTATTTTTTCAGTAACATTGCTGCTAGTAAAATTATTTTTTTATGACAATATTCCCCAAAATATCTTAATTGTTGTAATGAACCTATCTTTATTATACCTTTGTTCTTCAATGAAACACTGATTTTTATATTGAAATATTTAATAATTAAGATAGCTGTAATTAACGTAAATTATTATTTACATAATAAGCATATTACTTAAAGGGAGCTAATAGAGATATAGTCTAAAAATCTTGAAATTAAAACAATTTTACACAATGATTAAATGCAACATAAGAACTGGTGGATATTCTTGAAAGTTTTTATTATATTTTAAAACCAATATTTTGATTAAATTTATTAGTAACTTTAATATTACCAATAGATTTTTTAATTGCTTAAAAGTTTAAAATCATTCCCAACATGCTCGGCCTTTATGAGTGTGATATCGATATTTGATAAAACCTTATTTCCTGTGTTGGTTTGAGCCATCGGCGTCAAATACACACATGTTATGTAGCGAACAAGAAAAAATTTAATTAATAATTAAATTATTCAATTAAAATGAAGTTTATAGATTAACTAGAAGACCCGGCGAACTTCGTTTCGCCCTATAATCAAGAAATATCTGTTACGTTTTTTTATTTATATTTTTGGAGTTTACCTATTAAAGCCATAAATCTCCGTGTTTTGAAGTGATTAGGAATGATTAATAGTTAATATGAGAGTTACACTGAGCTAGCAAAATAATAATTGTCAACGTTACTACTACACTTGATGCACAAACAATAACGATGGCCGACAACTGTGTAGGGAGTGAGAGAAGTCTAATTGTGTGAGAGAAACAGAAGACCGGCTTCGTTCTCATCCCTACTCCGTGCTGTTTACTGGGTCAGAAGTGACACCTGTAGATATCTGGCGGGGATAACTTATTAAATGACGATTGATCAGTTATCGACCGGAGATGAAAAATGATTAAATTACTAAAATAGCTATTAAAAAATAAGGGTTGATCGTAGAAGGGTGAAAATTTAGGATTGTATGTATTTTTGTACGTTGTATCATAAAAAAATAGTAATTAAAAATTTTGTCTAAAAAATAAAAAAAAAAATTTAGGGGTGGACTACCCCTAACATTTAGGGGGATGAAAAATAGATGTTGGCCGATTCTCATAGCTACCGAATAAGCACAAAAAATTTCATCAAAATCGGTCAGGTTGTTTCGGAGGAGTATGGGCACGAAAACTGTGACACGAGAATTTTATATATTAGATAATAATAATTAGGATAAGCAACTATTACCTTGGACAGCATTTTAATGATTTAATCCTCGTCGTTTGAGAAAACAACTTATATAGTGTCCGATAACAGACGTTTAAACTAAAACAATTTATAACTTTCTTTGCAATTGTCTTGATATTGATTCCCTTATTGATATTGGTAATTTATCAAGTTAAAACAAACCTGTAAAACATAATTGATAACAATAGGTCTATAATATTATCGTTAGAAGATAGTAAAACGGCGTAAAGTTTTTTTTTATTTTTTTAACATTTCTGTGCCATAAATTAATTTAAATAGTCAATAAATTTAGTTAAGAAAACGAGGTTTATTTATTTTTTTATATTAGAGGTGTAATCGATCCAAATTCCATTACTTTCATAATAGTAAAATTTTCTGGGTTTGTAATTAACGATAACTGTTTGTAAAACAACAATTGTTAATTCATATTAGCTAGTGAACCCAAAACATAACAATGTAAAGAATGATTTCAAACAATTGCATATGTAGTGTTAATATTAAATTATTAATGTAAACTAAACAATTAATTATTCGTGTTGGCCTAGTGGTTAAAGGCCCGTCTCACATGCATGAGGACACGGGTTCGAAACCTGGCAAGTACCACTGTGATTTTTCATGGTCATATGTACTTTATAAGGGTATTTAGACACCACTGACAGACGATGAAGGATCGTGAGGAAACATGGACTTATAATTTCAATAATAAGTTTGAAATCACCAACCCGTCTTGAGAAAGCGTGGTGATTAATGCTCAAGTCTTCTCCATGTGAGAAGAGGTCTCTGCTCAGCAGTGGGCTCTGAAAGGCTGATGATAATGAATGTAAAATTAAGTAAAAATTTCATTTAATCATTGAAAAGACAACTATTTTAAATCAATAGATAAAATTTCGTCTGGCATTAGAGAGAAAGTAATTATTAGGGTAAAATTATATATAACTCTAAATTTAGTATGTACATTTACATTTTTAGTATAATTGAAACAAGGTATATCTATTAATGCTTAAATCGCTTCAATTAACAAAGTGTTAATTTAAAAGTTTTTATTTCTTTTTAATGATATTTTATATATATTTTATATTCAAAAATAAACATTTTATGTAGTTGATGTATAACAATGATGTAAGTTTTTTACTTTTTTTTCACATAAAATTAAATAACGTGTTTTATAGTGACAATATAATTACTTTCATACTCTTCATTAAATAATATTAGTAGAAATACTTAAATTATAAGTTTCATTACATTTTAGTTTTAATGTAAAGTAAGAGATTAAATTTATTTACAGTTCTGTTTGTTGGCATTATAAGTTTTTAATAAAATAGATAATAACACAAGTGTCTTTAGAAAAAAACAATTATTTTGTTAAAATATAGAAACGCATAATATTGCCGACTTGTCCATCAATCCCCGAAAAAGCCTGATAACATTAATAAACGTAATGATTGATTTACATATAAAATATAAATTTATAATGTTTTATGCTTATATATAAGATTACCCAGTTTTTCCTGAATATTCTGGCTTTCCGTATGTATATAATGTATAGTACATATATAAATATTTAGACACAGCCCCCGCTATGGCTGAAATCACTAAAACTATGCGCATATTGCATTGATCTATCCATATTTTGATTCATTCATGAAAGTGTTATGCGTTGGTTAGGCTTTCTCGGTATTGTTAAAATAATATTATGATGTCAAGTTAAAACAAACCATTACATAAAAACATAGCTCCATAGCTAGATTACTATATTATATTAATTGCTGTCATTCACTTTTATTACTTAGCACAATACATACATTACAAAGTTAATATAGTTTAATTGAATACTAGAGAAAGTAAATAAATATACATATTTGAGAATATATGATTGATTAGCAATAAATAAAAGTCATGATTGTTTAGAAATTCCTGGTTTTAAAAACTCATATTCTGATTTTGTATAAAAAAGCAAAACTTTTTAATGAAGTAGTATGTTTTATTCTAAAATTAGATCTACATATTAAAACTGTTATCTATTTAATTGACGATACTGTTATAAATTAGGTAAATATAATGATGATAGCGCCTACACAATTTTTAATTTTTTTGATATCAATTTAGTATTAAAATACAATAACGGTGCATAGACAACGTACTACAGAAAAGAGTAAACAAAATGGTGTCGAAGGTAATATTCATAAAAGCATTATATATTTCGTTTAATTCGTATTTCAATGATAATTTTCTGTTCTTTTAACCATATGAAAATGTTACAGGCCAGTAT